TGTATGCACCTGATGTATGCACCTGATTACAGCAGATGTATGCACCTGATTACAGCAGATGTATGCACCTGATTACAGCAGATGTATGCACCTGATGTATGCACCTGATTACAGCAGATGTATGCACCTGATTACAGCAGATGTATGCACCTGATTACAGCAGATGTATGCACCTGATGTATGCACCTGATTACAGCAGATGTATGCACCTGATTACAGCAGATGTATGCACCTGATAACAGCAGATGTATGCACCTGATGAATGCACCTGCAGAACAACGCACCTGTTCGTGCGAAGTTGCCCATGGCAAGTGCAGCTGGCACCTGTAGAGTCTCGTCACCTGACGCCAGCCAGGCCATCAGCTGCACGAAGACCGGCCCGCGGCCCTCCTTGTATATTAGCGGCATGCTCGCGTCTGTGTTAGGTGTGTGTTAATACATCAATAGCTCGCGTCTGTGTTAGGTGTGTGTTAATACAGCAATATATATTATAGTATTTTACTGTATATATTAATAGCTCGCGTCTGTGTTAGGTGTGTGTTAATACAGCAATATATATTATAGTATTTTACTGTATATATTAATAACTCGCGTCTGTGTTAGGTGTGTGTTAATACAGCAATATATATTATAGTATTTTACTGTATATATTAATAGCTCGCGTCTGTATTAGGTGTGTGTTAATACAGCAATATATTTTATAGTATTTTACTAGATATATATATTAATATTTTACAACATGTTTTAATTTCAAAATATAATACATTACTTTACTACATATTACAACATATTTTATAGTATTTTACTATATTTTATATTATTTTACAATATGTTAAAATATTTTACAATATGGTTGTCAGATTTGTATTAATATATCAATACATAACAATATTTAGAATATATTATGAAATTTTAGTATAGGATGGACAGGTTTGCATTAATATATCAGTACATATAAATATTTTACAATATATAATAATATTTTAGCATAGGATATACAGATTTATTCTTTTAAACATCACCTGCATGCTCGATACAGATACAAATATATCTAATTAGGCAGAATAATTGAAAAAAATTGAAATATCATAATTTACCATAATTTACACAAACATAAATATATCTAGGTAATTAGGCAGGATAATAAATAAAATCAGCATATAAAAAAATATATCAAAATACTCACTAACTTTTCAACAAATAAATACTAACTCTCTTAAATATTATATTAAATACATATTATATTAAATAAATATCAACTGGCTGCTTATTTCATCCTCACCTCTCCAAATAGTCACTACTTTTCAAAAAATAAATATTAACTTATATTAATATTAACTAATTAAATAAATATTATATTAAATAAATATTATATTAAATAAATATTATATTAAATAAATATTAAATGTTAAATAAATATTAACTAGCTGCTTATTTAACCTGACCTCCGAGCAGGATGAGCACGATGAGGTCCGTGGCTGTCTGGATGATGGCTTGCCAACAAAACTCTGAATGAACATCTGATTCATCCAGCAGTGAATCCAGCGCACACGCTTCTGTATTATCTGCATGTTCTAGATTTCCTGCATTATCTGGATTTTCTGGATGATCTGAATTTTCTGGATTAACTTGGCTTTCAAGATTATCGGCTTCAGTGATTGTTTGCGAGGACATTTTATCGGACAAAGATTTATCGTGTGTTGAATGCGTTGAATTAACTGCCCCGTATGGTGAATGTGTTGAATTGAGTGCCCCGTATGGCGAATGTGTTGAATTGATTGCCCCGTATGATGAATGTGATGAAGTACATCTCCGCACCACCTCCATCACAGCTTCACACACGCCCCCTTTCGCAAACTGAACTTTGCAAACATCTGAAAAGTTTATAAAAGTATGAATATTGTGTCAAATACAACTTGTAAACCTTTTAAAAAGCATATAAATTAAAAATATATGATTTGAAATAATTTGCACACATGTACACAGTGTACAAAGTTAAAAGTATTTCATTTAACATAACTTTCACATATCTGCACAATCATAATGTACAAAGTTAGATCTTTGCTTTAAAATCTACCAAATATAATATTTTAGGCGTTATGACGCAATCAGGTTGAAATGTTCAACACAATGTTGAACATCCAACACACACTCAACATTTATTCAAATTTTAGTATAGATATTACGCCACATTAAATAAATTAACAACTAAATTTTTAAGTGGCTTTTGTATTCAGGTTGATTCCAAAGTAAATGTTTGAATAAATTGTAGAAATTTCATTTTTCGCATTCATAAGTAGAGTTCAATTTCAGTCACAATAACATTATAAGATGATGAAACATATATTTTTTTATCATATATGGGCACTTCACCCTACATATCACCAACATATGGGTACCTCCCCCATTTCACCACTCCCCACTCCCCCCACTCACCACTCCCCCATTTCTCCCACTCACCCATCTCAGCGAGCGTGGTAGTCAGCTCCCCACTCACCCATCTCAGCGAGCGTGGTAGTCAGCTCACCCACTCACCCATCTCAGCGAGCATGGTAGTCAGTTCACCACTCACCCATCTCAGCGAGCGTGGTAGTCAGCTCACCCACTCACCCATCTCAGCGAGCGTGGTAGTCAGCTCGAGGCAGGCCTCTATGACGTCAGGAGCGACGCTGTGTGTCAACAGCAGGCAGAGCTGCGGGCTCAGGTCCACCGCTGACAGCGTCTCCCGGCCCAAGGCTGACAAAATTAAACTTAAATAAATAACAAGCTCAGGAAATAAACTTAATTATGTTAAGAAGCTGATAAAAGAAACTTAATTATATTGAAGCTGACAAAATTAAACTTAAATAAACAACAAGCTGACCAAATTAAACTTAATTATGTTAAGAAGCTGACGAAATAAAATTAATATCAACAACAAGCTGACTAAATAAAATTAATTATGTAAAGAGGCTGACCAAAATAAACTTAATTATATTAAGAAGCCGACGAAATAAACTTAAATAAGTAACAAGCTGACTAAATAAAATTAATTATATTAAGAAGCTGGCGAAATAAACTAAAACAAACAACAAGCTAATGAAATAAAGTTAATTATATTGAGAAGCTGGTGAAATAAACCTTATTAAACAACAAGCTCATGAATTACGCAATGTAATCTTAATCTTTTTCATTAATTTTTGTGAAATATTCATTTTTTATATGCATTGAAAGTGATAAATATCATTATTATATCCACCCCATGTATTATTAATGATAATCACAACTATTTATGATAATAAGCGTGCGCTACTGACGGGAGTGATAAAAATATTAAATAAATATTATCATTATATCCCGATAATGTTAAAGATAATCATAACTATTAATATAATAAGCATGCGCTACTGACGAGAGTTATAAATATTATTATATCCACGTGAAGCTATAAAAGAGTGATAAAAATCATTATTATATGCACATAATAATAATGATAATCATAACTATGATAATAAGCGTATGCTACTGACGGGAGTCGGCCATGCAGGCGAGCGCGAGCAGCACTTGCGTCGCGATGTCTTCCTCCTCGCTGTGCTGCTCCAGGTACTGGCACAGCAGCTGTACGCACTGCACGGTGCACAGCACTGCCTGTAATGTACGGTGATGTTAGCACTGCACGGTGCACAGCACAGCCTGTAATGTACGGTGATGTTAGCACTGCACGGTGCACAGCACAGCCTGTAATGTACGGTGATGTTAGCACTGTAAATTACAGTAATTCAACAACATCACAACAAATTAATCCCATCACACGGTAACCCATGGTAATTCTATCACACGGTAGCCCACTATAATTCCATCACACGGTAATCCTATCACACGGCATCCCACGGTAATCTTATCACACGGTCACCCACAGTAATTCTATCACACGGCAAAACAACGGTAATCCTACACACGGCAACCCACGGTAACCCCATCACCCAGTAACGCACGGCAATCCTACACCCAGTAACGCACGGTAATCCTGTCGCAGGAGTTGGTGAGGTTGAGCAGGAAGCCTGTGACGACGGCGCGTAGCTCCTGTACAGGACTCAAGCAGGCCTCGTCCTCCTCATCATCTGCTTCACTCTCCTGCAAAATTATTACGTGATATTAATTCAAGTATTATTAATTATTTATTATATTATTTCAATTTTTATTTCAGTGTTATTATCCACAAATTATAAAATTATTATTCACTACTCTAAACAAAATTTACAATGACCCATCTGCTTCATTCTCCTTCAAAATTATTGAGTGATATTAATTCAAGTATTATTAATTAATTATTATACTAATTCAATTTTTATTTCAGTGTTATTATCTACAAACTATTATTCACTACCGTACTCTAAAAAAAATTGACGATGACTCTTGTCTGGGTCATCGTGACACAGTTTGGCCCAGAAAAAAGGCGCATTAATGCTAGGTCAATTCTCTGCTCATGCTATAGGTATAGTGATATAATAACATGCTATGATATTTGTGATATAATAACATGAGAAGACATTAGTGATATAATAACATGATATGTTATATGTGATATAATAACATAATAATATATCTTATCTACCTGATGCGTTATAACATGATAAGATATTTGTGATATAATAACACATGTAAGATATTAGTGATATAATAACATGATAAGATATCATCTCTACCTGATGCGTTGACTGTACATCAGGCCAGTCAATGGCTCGCTGAAGCAAAGCTACGATGGCTGCAGCGCCTCCGTTCTCCAGCACAGCGACCCGACCAGCGTCTGGTGAACAGTTAGTGTATGAATATGGTAAATACCTTTACAATTACTTATAACAATAATTTGCCTAAGTTCCTGTTTTAGCTTTACAATCAATTATAGCAATAGTCAGCTTAAATTCCTGTTATCCTTTGGATTCCTGTAATCCATTAACAATTACTTGTAGTATTAGTTTGCTTAGATTCCTGTTATCCCATTAAAATTACTCATAACAATAGTTTGCTTAAACACTGGGTTCACCAAAGATTTAAAATGTTAAGAAAAGCCTCACAACACGGTGAATTAAGTAAGCATATTTGCAGGTAACATTCACCTCTCACCATGTTCATAACAGATGTTACCCAGCGCCCTGGTTGCCACTCACCATGTTCATAACAGATGTTACCCAACACCCTGGTTGCCACTCACCATGTTCGTAACAGATGTTACCCAGCGCCCTGGTTGCAACTTACCATGTTCGTAACAGATGTTACCCAGCGCCCTGGTTGCCTGTAGGACCCTGGCTAGGCTGGTGCTGCTGGTGTCCTGAGGCTCCGTCTCCTGCAGGGCTAGCAGGGAAGGCACCAGCAACACCAGCTCATTGCTGCACCGATGAGTTTCACACTGTTTGATACACAATAATGAGTTACATATTAAAGAATTATATATTACTTCATAATATTATATCCTTATAATAATTAGTATTAGAAGTATATATTAATTGAGGCACAATAATGAGTAACAAATTAAAAAAGTATATATTAATTAGTCACACATTAAATAATCACATAACAAATCACACTTTGAAGAAATATATATTAATGAGTCACTTACACCATTTAAAATTAAGTAATATGAAGTAAAATAATCAGAGAGACAGCAACCTCAAATTATTTTGATCTAGAGTATAGGCAACCTTAAATTATTTTGATCTAGATGAGCACCTTACCATTTGTTTACATGCATGAAAAACTTGGTACTAGTGCAACTTATAAGCCTATAGAAATGTAACTGTAAGATGTTAATGCAAAATAATTGTAACAAAATTGATTTTCCACACTGATATGTTCTTAAATTGATAACATACGTCAAGGTTGATGAATCTAAGTAATATTCAGATGATGGAGAAATGAAAAAAAAAACTGTACAAAAATTCAACTCACAGTGTGAAAGAATACATATAGATAAATTAAAATGAACATTGCAAATACTGTTAAGTAAATAAATGTGCATCATCTAAGGAAGAGAAAAAAAAAGTTTGACACCTTTGCCATTTTTGCCACAACTTCAGCAGCAGAGGTCTTGACAGCATCATCAGAGCTGCCGAGGCCTCTTTGAAGCAGGCCTAGCAAAGCCCCGGAACTGAGACTTGTTGACACAGCTGCTACAGCATCAGGAGAATCTGGAAGTGGAGAAGATTAATAATATGCATTTAAAAAGTACTTTTTAAAGAAAACACTTTTAAAGATACAGTGTCTCTGATGATACACATCTACAATGAATTATTAATTTATTGTCCATATATTAAAAAAATAATTTTCATTATATGAAAAAAATGTAAATTTTCAAAATTATTTATAGTGTCAATTGATTCATGCATTGTCTCCAACTTTATGCAAGTATGCAAAATTTCTGATTGATTGGACAGGTAGAAGTGTGTCAAATATTGATTATAATAAGATTTATTTTGTAGCAGACAGACAAACAACAAGAAGTGAAGTTAAATAGAAGTGTTGTATAAAAAACTCCATTTTAGGAATACATTTTAGCTAATAAACAAAAAGATACACTAAACAATATTAATAACAAAATGGCATAGGTACAAAATCCCACAATTTTCAAATACATTTTGGAATTATGAAGAACCCCAGAAGCAAGTATCAAAACATTGCTGACATTTCTAGTACATATTTTACTGAACAAATATTTTTTTAGCTAGCTTCCAGTATTGTAGTGCAAGAGCTTCAACTTGATGATTTTATCATATCTATCATAAGTAAAGAGTAAAACATTAACAATTTAAAGTGAAATTTTGAAGGAAAATATATAAATGAGTAGGTAGTAGTACTACATGTGTACAGAAAAGATTGAAAAATTCCTGGACAGAAGTGACATAGACCAAATAATATTGTAATTAAAAGCCACATTTTTAATAGTATAACTCAAGTTTTTCAAGTGTTAGTAATTCTTTCTATCTATTTTCCAGGTTACTTATTGGTCTATATTCATATTGTGCCTAATAACCAGTGAATTAACTGGTTACATACTTATCCTACCTACAATATGCCTAGGACCTACAAGAGCCATAAAGGCTTCTGCACCTTCAGGAACTATACAGGGGATGAAGTAGAAACAGTTGTAACTTTAATAAGAGACAAGAATATACCTAAGTATAACCAAAGCTGCTAAACAGTATGGCGTAGGCTAGTCTGTTTTGTTCAACAGAGTGCATGGAAATAATGTTATGAAGTCTGCTGGCCAAACTATTTTGATTGCACAGGAGAGCATTATTGTAAGAAGATTCATACAGTGGAGTGATAAAGGCTACCCAATTCAGCCTATGGACCTAAGTATTAGCTACCTGGATGAGCAAGGTGAACTGTTCCTGAGTTTTCAATGAACCTTCCATGGCCTGGCTGGGCTTCTGGGAGTTCTGGCTTCATAAAGCAGTATGACAATTTAAGCAAAATACTAGCAAATGATATTAAAAGATCATGAGGACATGTGAGTGAGCAAATGTTGATGGCGTATCATTTAGGGCTGGCAGTCTGACAGAGGAGATGAAAGAGTCCTACCCATATTTGTAACTATGGGTGGCCCAAGTGGAACACCTAAGACATGGAAACCTGCAAATACTACTAACTACTGAGTAAACCTGAGACCTTACATAGCCCATGCCTGTTTTAACCTATGTCAACCTTAGCTGGTTTAACAATAATGTGCTCAAGTGCTTTCAAATTTTTAAACTGGTAAAAGTAACCCCATTTTACAGTACCTAGTCATTTTATGGATATTGAACCCTATAAATTGCAGTTCTGATGAGTTTTATATGATTTTTAGCAAAAAGTGGCAAGGTATGAGCATTGAGCAGTACCTGCAAAGTGGCAACTTATGTGTCACTAACAGGATGTGTTGCTTGGAAAATGGAATTATTCCAAAGTTAACAAGAACAACTGAGGCTAAGTATACCTGGCATAATAATGAATATAGAATTAATAGAACCAAAAATTAACCATTCATTAACAAAACTAATATTTTTGGACCAAGCAGGGAAGCAGACTGTGACTGGATGGATTTTGTATGTAGGCTACATTCATCATTCATGATTCACCCTACCTAAATACAAACTGAAATTTCTTAAAATTCACCCTGATATATAACCCTGCTTTTTGTTATCATTTGGGATAATTTGTTATAAATACTTATAGGTACTTATAGTGCCTTCTAATTCATTAAAATCGAATAGAAAAAAATATACATGCCTTCAAAATCAATGGGCAAGGCAGCAAGAATTTTCTTGAACTGCTCATTAAGGATGTCAGGACTCTCAACCTTGCTCTCTGGATTGGTCTCCAGCGTCAGTGTTGACAGAAGTTGTGACAGATCTGAAATTTAGGTCAGTGTTAATCATAGTGACAAACCAGAGATTTTTTTAGAATCAGTTCATTTTTAATTTCCTCATTTACTCAAGATTTAAATAATTTCTTATGTAGTCTGTTAATTATTTCCACAATGCAATTACAATAATCAAACTGTTGATGTTTAAACACAAGTACATAATAAACTTAATAAAACATTTTCGACCGTAGAGAGATAAATAAAGAGAAGAGAAATATATCTAAAAACTCAGCATACCTGCAGTCATGGTGATATAAAAATATCAATTCGTTTTTTTCCCGTGACAGAAATTTTGGAGGAGTTGTGATTTGAAGCACTCGCGTAAACAACCCACAACGCGTGAGTCACCGTTTCGGTATGAAAAATGAATCCGCTTTTTTTCAATCTCACTTCCGCTAATATTACCAACGTAAATTATCTTGACATTTATTTGAATTTTTGATTTATTTGTTTTTCATGTTTTTCCTTCTACAATCAGTCGTCATTGATTTTGTCATTGATATCTAGTAAAAAATATGTGCTTACATTGACATGATAATTAGAAACAAGCTGTGTTTCTCTCCGTTGATTTGCCTTGATTACCGAACATGGGTGTTCATTATTTAAAAAAAATGTGAATAATAAGTCAGTCCTATCTTTTACTAGTAACTAGAACGATGCACGTATTTTGCGGATTTTTATTTGAAAACAAAGACATTCGTGTTACTAAATCCAGCTTTCAGGAGAAGGAAAGCATGGTTTGCTCGTCGACTTATCATCGAAATTTTGTAGTTCCTTTTTTATAACGCTAATCGCATGTGCGAGACTGCGAGGTGACTGGTAGTGGTAAGTTATTGAGTCTCGAATTGTGGGCTTATAGGATTTCAAAAATTTATTAGTAGTAAGCACGGTAAAATTTTGTGTATGGTAATTACTAAGTTAGGGCTTCTGTCAGTTCTGAACTTCTGACTGTTCTGTGGGTCAACTTTTTCAGGATCAATATAGGCTACGTAGTTCCAAAATCCTGCCTGATGGCTGTATTGGCTGATAAGTGATAAGTCATCAGTGGACAGATAGTTTTTTTATTAACCAGTTAACCCTAATAATTGAATGCCACTGAAGATGCTTCAGCACTTGGTAGTTTGCAAGACTATTGTATAGGTACATAGGTAAACTTACTATTTGATGGGGTGACTGGTGAGTGAGTGAGTGGTGACTTGGTATTGGAGCCTTTGGACCATTTGAGGTGACTTCACTGATGACTTGGACCATTGACAAGGGGGCTTGGACCATTGATGAGGGGACTTAGCCCATTGATGAGGGGACTTAGCCCATTGTCAAGGGGACTTGGACCATTGACAGGGTACTTGATTATTTTGACATTCAAGAAAAGTTTTTGCTTTTGAAAAATTTTGTTGATGGCTCATTGGCTTTTGAAGTACCTACTGTGAGTCATGTGAGATAGGCTAACCTAAAAATGCAATAAAGAGATATATTTTATAAATATATACTATTTGAACATTTGTACCACAAGAAGAAGCCTATAAATGCTCCAAGTCAAATAGTCAAAAATATTGTATTTTGAATTACATTCAAATTTAGTAAAAAAACTCGTGTTCTTATTATAAGAGTGAAACGAGTTACTTGACACAAACAATGTTTTCTATTTTTTTTTTGTGTGTGTGTGGGATTCAAGCTATCAGAACTGTGGAATTTACTACAAATTCTTATATCTAGAACTGGAAAAAGGATACAATACAACTAGGTAGGTATATTAAAAAATATGATTCTATATTATTTTTCAGGCCTGGTCCACTATGTATAAAGTAAAAATAATATGTTTTATTTTCTTTCAGATTTAGACTTCAGACTGAGTAAATTACAGTGCTGGTAAATATGTCATCTGCAGGCAGTCCCGAGTCTGAGTGTCTTTATCAAGGGAAACCTGAAGGGGCAATTAGAAAAGTGAGTGAATTTTTTAACTAATTTTTTACAAAGCAACTTTACTATTTCAATTATTTATATATCGATTTATGGTACAGCTTTCTCTTCCCAGAATGTCAGTTTGAGGCCATTTTTTATATTTGGGTGCTTCTTATTTTTTGTTTAAGTATTTGAGGTCTCGCGCAAGCATAAATTTATAGCTGGATACATTATATATATGTTTCGGTTTATTGGCTATCATTCCAAACTGCAGAAAGTTATTGAGATACAAAAAAAAGCGCATAAAGAAAGTATTGTTTTTGATAACTTATCTTGAGATCAAAAGCTGTACTCTATTCAGTCACCATGATTAAAAAATCTGCATTTACAATAAATTTAATCATTTTAGTTACTTAAAAATAATAGAAGTTGTAGAGATATCTACTAGATCTTATGAAACTGTAAATTTGGTAGGAAATTTTCCAATTAAAATCTCTCTACCATTTCTGTTAAGTGTTCTTGAACAAAAAATTTCTTTTGAAATTATTTGCTAAATTTTCATTTAGTGTTGATTTAATTTTAGTTGAGAATGAAAATAATAGTTTTTCAACCTAAATACTATATATTATTAAAAAAATTTGATTTTCATCTCTCCTTTACATTCTGCCTTCCCTGCACAATGACTCCATTTTTTAAAAGTATAATTAAAACAAACGGATAATTATTGTGTTGACTTTTCAGTGTCACCGTCTGAGCAGCAAAGCTGACTACTTGGAACAATGTGACAAGTTGGAAGAAGCCAAGGCTTGTCACCAGCAATCGTCTCAAGCCTTGCAAGCATACCTTAGAACCCAAGTCAGTTCTAGTTACCAAGTTCATTTTTGATGTCATATGAGAATATAATCTTAGAACCCAAGTCAGTTCTAGTTACTAAGTTCATTTATGATAATATATGAGGATTAACTCATAGAACCCAAGTCAGTTCTAGTTACCAAGTTCATTTATGATAATATATGAGGATTAAATCATAGAACCCAAGTCAGTTCTAGTTACCAAGTTCATTTATGATAATATATGAGGATTAAATCATAGAACCCAAGTCAGTTCTAGTTACCAAGTTCATTTATGATGTCATATGAGGATATAATCTTAGAACCCAAGTCAGTTTTAGTTACTAAGTTTATTTATGATGTCATACAAGGACTTAATCTTAGAACCCAAGTCAGTTCTAGTTACCAAGTTCATTTATGATAATGTCTTATGAGGATTAAATCATAGAAGACAAGTCTGTTCTAGTTACAGAGTTCATTTATAATAATGTCTTATAAGGATTAAATCTTAAAACCTTTGTCAGTTCAAGTCAATGAGTATGAGTTCATTTCAGTTTAATCATAGAATGCAAGTCCCTTCAAGTGACTGAGTTTGTAATAACATTTTATAAGGATTTGATCTTGGAACCCAGGTCGGTTCAAGTCACAAAGTTTGCACTAACATCCCATAAGGATTTCCACTTGCCTTTCCATGAATGATGTATGTTGCTAGTAGCTTAGATTTTCCCTATTACTTGTTGTGTGTTGATTGCTTTGCATTATTATTAAATTCTTTGTTGAAATATATGCCATTTCTGGTAGGAAAATAATTTCTTAAGTTCTGTTACATTTTATAGCTTATTGAGAAAAAAATTTTTAATTTGCTTCTTCTTGAAATGAAAATTCATTTTAAGGTTTAAAAACAATAAATATATATTTTTTAATTCCTCACAGATTTATTTAATGAAAATTATCCCAACAATTTTGGTGTTGAATGATTTATTTATATGTAGTTGCATGATCAGTTCATCAAATATTTAACAATGATATTTTATGCTTTTACAGATAAGTGTATCTGCAAGACATCAGGTTGAATTACTAATTCGGAGACACCAAAACCGCATCTTATATCTGAAGTGAGTAATATTTCTCAGTTTAGGTTCCTAGAAGTAACAGTTAATTCTGGTAGATCAAACCCGGTTGATGTAAAATTAATCTTAACATTACAACCAGGTTAACCAATTAACCAGAGATGATTTGAATGGGTGTCTTTTAATGTTTTATTTAACCAATTAATCAGAGATGATTTGAAATTTGGCCCATTTAATCAGATTTGCATGTTGGAGACCAACACTGTCCAATTCTGCATGGACTGACATGATCCCTTCCTCCATTAAAGTAGCTTTCTACAATTGTTGTTCTGGCTTTCAACAATTGTTGTTGTAGCTTTCAGCAATTGTTGTAGCTTTCAGCAAATGTTATTGTAGTTTTCAACAATTGTTGAGCTGCAAATCGCACAAGCCAAAACATATCCTTTAATTTGGCCAATCAACCTCCAGCAAAGAAGCTTAGTATGGTATGGCCCAGCATTGTCCGACATGAAATAATTTTCAAACAACATTCATTCAAAATCATCTGACATGAAATCAAATTAAACCATTCAGCGTTCATTTTTTGTCTCAACTAGCAATCTGTATTCTTCCTATACATCGAATCTGCCCAGAGTCAAACGGCCACTTAATCAGAGTTGAACGGCCATTCCACTAATATCATAAACCTAGCAGGTATCTGATGCTGTCAGATAAAAGTTGTGCAATTTAATGTCCCGGACGTCATAACTGATAATAACAGCAGTGCCTCCTGTAAGCAGATGGTTTGGACAACATGAGTGAATTGAAACACCATTTCAGTTTACATAGATTTTATATAAATTAGCATATGGCCACAACGGCCTGAATTTTTTGTATTATGGCAAGTTTAATTGTTTTATGTAAAAAACATCTTCATTCAAAAGGAGAAAAACCGCCAATTGATTTACTATTTATTTGTACTAGAGCAATGTCGCGATAAAACTGATTGAATTTTAATGACATATTTCTGCTGAACTAGAGTAAATAAAATTAAACTATCATAGGAAATACGGTATTGCAAATACAAATGGTTGAATTTACTGTTATATTTCCTTTATGCAAGTACTATTATATTTTATTATAAATATTGCAAGTACAAATGGTTGAATTTACTGTTATATTTCCTTTATGCAAGACCTAAAATAAACAACATATTGCAGGAAGCGCCTAGAAGAGCAGCAAGGTGATGCTCAGGGCGAGCTGTCAGTCAGCATCAAGGAGGCGCAGGATGAACACGTCCGCTTCTACTTCTCCCAGAACCCTGGCCTGCTTCAAGATTTTAAGAGGTTATCTATTCATAATTTATATTTCATTCACTTATTCAAAGGCAGTTACAAAAATTGGGTAGTGTAGAATAATTAGTTAATTGAAGCGATGTCATCACTCATCACCAAGATAAAGCTGGGCTGCTTCAAGATTTTAAAAGGTTATCCATTCAAAATTCATATATCATTCACCTATTTAGCAGTTACAAAGTTAGAGTAGTATAACAAGTCAATTGAAGCGATGTTATCACCAAGATAAACCTGGGCTGCGTCAAGATTTCAAAAGTTTATCCATTCAAAATTCATATTCCATTCACCTATTAAAAGGCAGTTACAAAAATTAGAATAAAATGACAAGTTAATTGAGGCAATGTCATCACCAAGATAATTTTTAACACCTTTCGACAAGTCCTGCTTAAAGATTTCGAAAGTTTACCACCTAAAAAATTCTTATTTCTTCCTCCTGGTTGAAGACCACACTAAAAAATTTCTTAATTGAAACCGTGTTATAAAGCAATATATTTGTTGCTGTCCATCAACTAAGGTTGGGGCTAATTTTCTAATAAAAAAATTGCAATTTGCAGTTGCATGATAGTTGGTACCAAGTCACACATGCTGCTACATTGCAAAAAAATGCTTCGATATTAATTTCATTTAGGAGTTCAAGATCTCTTAATTGGGGATGTAACTTTAAATCTTTATCGTTACAGATAATAATTTATTCAAATAAATTTCATTTATTTCAGATCACAAGTGCAGTTCAACAACGCCATGGAGCAGCTACATCGGCTGGCTAGGCCTGAGGACATCACAAGAGAAGTAAAGAATCGTCTGCTATTCAACACAGACAATGTTGAACCTTCAACATCTACAGATCAACATTCAACAGAAAAATGCCCGCAGGATTTCAATGAAGAACCAATAACCAAGGGCGCCTTGGCTGGTGGTAGCTTTCCTCGTTCCGATGAGGCTTGCTGTGCCCGTGCATTTAAGGATAATTCAGGAACAAGTTCGGAAGAAAATTCCTCATTAGGAAATAAAAGCTGTGATAAAAATAAGACCGAGTCTAGAGCAGATGCTCTTTGTTCTGAAGGCTGTCATGATGGTAAATCAAGTCTGTGTTCCAAGCTTAGGAGTGCGGATACCAAATTCCATGATAAGATTAGACAAGGATTACCAGGTCCAGAAGAGAAAGAATCTGGTGTAGTCAAATGCTTTAGGAAAGAGTTTGTAAGAGAGAACAAAACAAGTGAAGAAAAATGTATCTTAGAGAAGCAGTGCTTCTCAACATGCAAGGAAAATGAATGCACTGAGAATAAGTGTAGTGGGAAAAAGTGCTACGAGGATAAAGGCTCTGAGGATAAGTGTGTTGGGAAAAAGGGTTTTGAGGATAAATGCACTGAGGATAAGTTTATTGGGAAAAAGTGCTACGAGGATAAGTGCTCTCAGAATAAGTGTAGTGGTATAGTATGCAGGCAGTGTAAGAAGAGCCTCGAGACTCGCGTCACAGAAGAAGGGCTCTTGGTTCGTCTTGTGTCGGAGCTGCCGCTGCTGTGGAGGGCTAAGGACAGGATGATGCACGCAGTGCTGGCCGACTACTGCAGGGTGGCGAAAGCCAGGAACGAGCTTCAGCAGCAGGTGGGGACGCTAACTTAAAAATTTTGGTTAAAGCGAAGCTAATGTCATAAAAAAGCAGGTGGTTAATGGTTAAAATTTTGCCTAATGCGTGGCTAATGTCATGAAAATTCTTATTAGCGCATATCAAGCGCCTAAAATTTCTTTTCATTGCAGAGCTAGACTGCAAGTTCTTGGTTTTGCACAGCTTGTAACTTTAAATGTTTGCTAGTTAATACCTATCAACTAAAAGTTTTTGCGTTTGCAGCATCAGTAACTGACAATTATTGTTATTGCAGACCCAGCAACTGACGATGCAGCTGGAGCGCGCTCGCCAACAGCTGCAGCAATTCTCGAGCTCCATGCACTCCATGAGCGACCCGCTGCAGGAGACTCAGGATTTCAGTCTCCACGATACCTCAGCGAACTCCTCGGACCAACGCCGGCACGCAGCCGCCCTCAGCGACGAGCTTCTTTGCGACGCTCTGGAACGAAATTTCTTGGGCAAGTGTCAGCAGATTGACAGCAACGAGGCTGTCTCGAGGAGTGTCAGGAATGCTGTCAACGACCAAGAAATGCGTGGTAGGAATGCTGCCAACGACCAAGAAATGCGGGGTAGGAATGCTGTCAACGACCAAGAAATGCGGGGTAGGAATGCTGTCAATGATCAAGAAATGCGGGGTAGGAATGCTGTCAACGACCAAGAAATGCGGGGCAGGAATGCTGTCAACGACCAAGAAATGCGGGGCAGGAATGCTGTCAACGACCAAGAAATACGTGGTAGAAATGTAAACGGACGAGAAATTCGTGGTATGCATGATGAAAAAAAGAACATCAGTAACGGCTCTAGGGATACAAGCAAGTTAACTGAAAATTCTTTGCTCTACCAAACGAAGCATGATGCAGATGAAGGATTTACGAACTCATCCATACGCTGGAAGAACGAGAAGAGTGGACATGTGGTGGACGACGATCCGTGGCTTTCTACATGCGGGAAAAATGACAGAAGTGGAATTTCATTACGCGGCTGTGATGAAGAACTTTGGTTTTCTATGGGCGCGGCAGATGAAAAATTAGCTCCACTAAAACAAGATTTTGATGACAAATATGGCGTCGGTGATGGCTTGTTGAACACATATTCATCTCATCACGCTTTTGCAGGAGACAAGTCTTCAAGTAATGTTAGAAACAAACCAGGCAATACGACCAACACTAAAGAAAAGGCGAGAAGAGACAAAAATAGCGGAAGATGCAACACTTCGTCCGTGGCCGCCAGTTGCTTGGATGCTTGCGATTTGCCTCCTTGGAAATCTAATGAATAATCTTTTGGTGGGATAGTGTAAATTGTGCCACTGAGGAACACAATTGTGTTCCTCAACATAATACAGGATACGTAGGAAAATTTTAATATGGTGGAAATTGGTCAATTGTTGTGCCACCCACCACCTCCAATCAGTGATTGTACTCAGAAATTATCGTTGAATCTTTTAAGCGAAACTTGCTACGTTCAATAAAGTTTGAAGAATGTTTCCAATAAAGTTTGACCAATGGTTTCAATAATGTTTGACCAATGGTTTCAATTAAGTTTGAACAATGTTTTCAATAAAGTTTGAACAATGTTTCCAATCAATTTTAACAATGTTTCCAATCAAGTTTGACCAATGGTTTTAAAATAATTCTTTCCTCGAGCCCGCCAAATCGGTGTTTTAATATTTATTTAAGACTAAAATTGACCTGCTTGACTTAAATGTCGATGAATTCGTATCACTGCAGTGAAAATATAATTAGTTATCCGGCACCCAAGATATTATTCATCATGATCAACGTTCGCTTATATCGTGTTTTCTCAATCGCTCTGTACTTCTGTCGCGCTTCCTCAATTTCCTTATATGAGTATAGTATATATTCATTCACTTACCGTCACGCAGGTGTATTTAGGTCTTCGTTATTGATTTTTTGCTTAACACATTGAGTGCGGTACGGTATGCAATACGCAATGAATACGACATAGCCGAACTTAACGTGATAAAAGTATTGTACTATGAAGTGAAAAATTGAGAACAAATGTGACTTTTTTCGTGACTACGCCGATGATCAAGTGAACATTTTGTACCATGGGATAATCGCTTCTATTATTATTAACTGTAACTAAGAACCCCAAAAGTTGACATCGAATCGTAACATTTAATCATTTTCAAGTTATCATTGATACTTGTTTGCGTTCGCGACGGTTTGTTCTTGGTGGTACTGAGAGATGGACATGGTCGCTGGAAAGGCAATATTTCTATCCATTTGTATTGCGTTTCAACACCGGTGAAGAATAACTGATCGCATTTCAATATAAAATTCATGAAACTTAGTTTAGAGCTTCACATATATTCTACTAAACTGCAGTACATGTTACTAGAATACGAAGATATCTTCGTTTCTATCGCTAGTTCGGCTACTGTCTGTACAAAAAGCAGTGCTAATGTCAGCGGTCTGAAAAGAAAGTTGAATCAATTATAAACATTTTATTTTCACAACACTCCCCATTTCTGTTCAAAAGCAGTGCAGATCTTGGCGCAGGCGAGAGCTCCCGACAGATGATACTGGGAAATTGCAAACGATTCTTCAACATAGTCCACTTCAACCTGAAACATTAAACTAGGTTAGCTATCTAATATCAGTACAACATTGACATTTTGCATATGAAAGCTAACTGAGGGATGAAGCTAGGCTAGGTAGATGACGGCTAACTTCAAATACTTGAAAGGTGAATGGTTAGTCCATGGTTGAACTAGTATAAGGTTGACCCGTCGGAAGCACGTTTTTGCAGATGTAGTTCATTGTTCGCCTGTGACGTCACTGTTCTCAGTGACGTCACGGCCATTGACCAATCACCAAAATGCGATCAAACCATTCAACCAATCCGTCATGAGAACGACGAGATTGTTTACGTTTCTCGATCTCAGTGACTTAACAAGAAAGCTGAACTGAAAGACGGAACTTCTCGTGGGCCATTCTTATATAGTTCAACCAAGGGTCAGTCTGCTTAAATCGCAAATTCACAAGGAATTTAAAAACAAAGACGTTAAGCAAATTCACAATGTCGATATTGAAAACCTTTTTATATGCCAAGCAAATTCACCAAAACGTTTTTAATATCGATATGGTGATTTTGCTTGGCGTTTTCATCGCTTTTTAATTCCTTGGCTAACTTCAAATATGGCCACTTAGTCGAGGATTTTGGACCTGTATTCTAGAAGATCACACTAACTGCTCAATAAATATGAATTAATAGTCCATGTTCTCAGGCCGGAGTTCTAGAACATTATAAGATTTTGACGGTAAATGTGAATTAATCATCCTAAAATGAATTCTCTCAACATTCTCTAATGAATGGTGCAAATCCTAGAGGCTGCGACTGAGCGCGATAAAAATATTTACCGAAACAAGAATTACAATAAAAATACGAGACATTAATTGGTGTGAAGACTCGAATTTAAAAAATTATAATAATAACTCCAAGAGGGTCGCAATAATAAATATAAAAATCATAAACATGATAACACAATGCACGACCAACACGTAAAATAAAATTAGGTAACATAGGAAATATTATCTGAAAATTATTTATATTAAGTTTGATTAAGAGAAATAAATATTGCAATTAAGTGATGCATCATGAGGTATCACTCCCCTAAAGCAGACGAATGTAGAAAAATATACTTTAAAATCGTCAATTTTTTTTAGTACACATTTTTACCTGATTCAAAGATGTATTATTAAATGAAAATAAGATGTTAATATCTCATGATTATATAATTACATGGTATTGACAAACTTTCTATAAAATTATTATAATTGAATGAAAATCAATATGGTAATAGTAATGATAATAATAGAATGATAATAGTAAACTTCATATAAAATTATTATAAATGAATGAAAATTCAATATGGTAATAGTAATGGTAACAATAGAATGGTAATAGTAAACTTTATATAAAATGATTATAAATGAATGACTATGTTGGGTAAACTTCCTATAAAAGTATTATAATTGAATGAAAATGTTATAGCCTGACCTTGCCATGGGCTATTGCCCCCACCACGATAACAATAAATCGTTATTTCTTCTAGTATATACAGTACCAGATTCAAAGATGTATTTTTAAATGAAAAATAAGATATCTTTATCTAATGATTAGGTATATTGTTACATGGTATTAGAAAACATATATTTTATTAAAAGTATTATAATGGAATGATAATGTTATAGCCTGACCTTGCCATGAGCCATCGCCCCCACCACGATAACAATAGGCTTGTCGTCAGGAGGCACCAGCTCGGAGGGCTGCACGCAGGGACTCTCAAAGGACGTGCCAATCTTGCGGCATCCTACAGGCAGGTGGTCAGTGATGGGGTTCTTGATCACCTTCAGTAGCTTCTTGTTGGTTTCTGAAGACCTAACACTTAGACGCTGCAGCAGTTGGACTGTAAATAAAAATATAATATAATATAGGGTTCTTGATCACCTTCAGCAGCTTCTTGTTGGTTTCTCAAGACCTAACACTTAGACGCTGCAGCAGTTGAACTGTAAATAAGATAAAAATGTACTTTTTGTTGGTTTCTGAAGACCTGACACTTAGACGCTGCTGCAGTTGAACTGTAAATAAAATAAAAAAATAGTTTTTGTTGGTTTCTGAAGACCTAGTCCCGCCTCTACCAGCAACTCTGTTTACGTCCCGCCTCTACCAGCAACTCTGTTTTCGTCCCGCCTCTACCAGCAACTCTGTTTACGTCCCACCTCTACCAGCAACTCTGGTTGATCTGAAGAACCGTATCACTGCTACGGTGCACTCATTAACAGAAGATATGCTTTCTTGTGTGTGGGACGAGTTTGGCTGGCGTTTAGATGTTTGCCGTGCAGCACAAGGGGGGACATGTTGAACATTTGTAAATATGTAAAAAAAAACTTGAATCTTTCAATTTCCATTGTGAATAAGTTTTCATTTTGAATCTATACGAATTTTTTAAAATGAGTCCATCATTTAGAATAACCCTGTATATTAGGTACTCATGACAATAAAGACAGCAGGAGTATTTTTAAAAAACTGTTTAAAAACTATATTATCACTGAGCTGATACATCATAGTTCAATTGAACAATTCTCAAGTCAAGTATCACACTCTTGCGCCCCAGTCATTTCTACAAACTAAAGGTTTTAAGATTTGCGGAAGTGAGTAACATTGTCAGTACATCAGAAAATATTAGAGTAAGCACCTGCAACAAGGAATAATAAATGAGAACAATGAATGATGTGTCACTGTTAAAAAAAATCACAAATTGATTGTTTTATTGTGAATATTTTCAAAGTTGTGCTGTCATAAGCCATCAATCATTGAGCTCTCCTGCCATAAGCCATCACATATAAAATTTTCTTACTATAAGAATCTTCTAGAAAATTATACTTCTTTAAATTCTTAACATTTCAAATTTTTTTCCTAAAATAAGTAACTATCCCCTAAGTTTTCTCATCATGATCATCAACAAAATTTTCTTGCCATAAAATCTCTAAAATTTTCCTATAATATGCTAAGCATCTAGAAAGTTTTCTAGCCAAAACTCAGCATCTAAGAAGCCATTAAGTTTGGACATTTCCCAGTAGACAGTAGAATTAATAAAATATCTCCCAGTCATATGCACAAATGGATTTTTTGTAAAATTTTGTATTTGATTACAACTAGGTACATTATGAATATGCTCAATTTCAACTAATAGCATTGATTCTAACTCACCCATTAAGCCAGCAAATCTCTTAAATGTTCGGGGAATCCTGCACTGTGGATCTATCTGGATAAGCACATTTTTTTCTGTGTGAATGTAGACCTGGAAGAATCAAAATTATTTAAATACACAAGTTGCAAAAATCAATATGCTTAAAGTCAATTTGAAACAGGATTATAAATGGACAAAAAATGTAAGTATTACTTTGAAGAACATTCATTGAATTGGCATCATAAATTAGGTGAAACAAACACACTCACTTGTAATAGTGAGTGTAATAACACTTGTAACAACAAACATAAGACTATGAGTGTAATAAACATAAGAGTATGAGTGTAATAACACTTGTAATAACAAACATAAGACTATGAGTGTAATAAACAGAAGAGTATGAGTGTAATAACACTAATAAAAACAAACATATGAGTAGGAGTGTAATAACACTTGTAATAACAAACATGTGAGTAGGTGTGTAATAACACTTGTAATAACAAACATAGGTAAGACTATGAGTGTAATAAACGCAAGAGTATGAGTGTAATAACACTTGTAATAACAAACATAAGACTATGAGTGTAATAAATGTAAGAGTATGAGTGTAATAACACTTGTTATAACAAACACACTCGCTTGTAATAGTGAGTGTAATAACACACATAATAACAAACACACTCACTTGTAACAGCCCAGCTTGATTGAGGGGGGAATCCTGCAGCATAAGCAGGCACTGGTGTAGAATATCCGGCCTGCAATCTGCCAAGTCCTTCTTATACTTGCGGATGAGGCCCATGTGATGGTCGCAGTTCAGGAGTTCATAATGCTTGCCAGCCTGTGAGTCAATTGAGATTTAATTTAAAAAATAAATTTTAATACAGTGTACATAGATTTTTATTTAGTATGAGAATTTCCTGCCAAATTATAGAATAACATTTTGAACCTAGTAAATGGTGACACATACATCCTAAGGTGTTGATAAATTACTTCATAGCCAAATTTTAAAATAAAATACAAATGGATTAACTGAACCAATTAGCATATTACTGTTTCTTATGACCAGTGGTTATCAACATCAAAAAAACCTAGGAAGGAGCTCACCATCCAATATTAATTGAGGTATAAAAATGTCAGCAACAGGATGGAATGGCAAATGTTATCCATAATTAATTTGAAAAATGCAAGAATATTTTGAGCCAGGAACAACAGGAACTGGGATGATAGAGAACAACATTCCATGCCTGCTGCATGGTGACAAACTACAGATCTTTTATGATCAGTTCATTTTTAATTTCCTCATCTACTCAAGATTTAAACCAATTTGATTTATATGATAATGCTGGTATCCATGATACTTTTACTAGTCTACTTATGGGACTCAAAAACTAACTTGAGGAAGAGTCTTGGGAATCTCATTGCTCCAAAACTGGCTGAAAAGCTCTAATCATAGCTTTGAAAATGAATTGGCAAAAATCACTCATTAATACATTAAATACAATAAAAATGCTTGCAAATATAGTAATTTTTATCAGTTTGTATCTTTCTTGCCAATTGAGATAAATCAAGCAATTCTGTGAATGCAACAGAAACAACCATGCTTGTGGTCAATTTCACCTGTATTTAGCCCTTGTAAAATTTCTTCTACATAAAAGACTCATTTTTGAATAGGATTTCTTAGATTAGCCTGTAAAACAAAATAATTTATCTGCAAATCTTAGAAAATTTTGCCCATTGTTCCAGATTGGATTAGTGTGAAAAGTGATAGATTCCACACCTGATGAAGTAACGCTAAACTGGAAAATTCAAAATTGGGCTGACAATACTTGTAGTTATCTAGAAAAGACATAAATGCCTATGATATCATTGCTATGATCAATTTCATCCATTTATATTTCCCTAGTAAAATGGAGAAAAATGGTATGTTTTTGCCCATGATTATTGAAAATAATCATTGAAAATTATCAACTCATAGTTCTAACCTAAAGTTTGAAAAAATTTTGGTTGATATTTCAGAATTGGATCTTGCAGGTTTGAATATTCATTTTTAATTTTGTTGAAACAATTTTTCTGATATTACAGCTTTGAAAATAGTAGCACACATTTCCAATAAATAATCACTAAAATTAAAATCCACAATACAAGCTGTGATCATGTGATGAATTGATGATGTGATTGTGATCTGTTCACATCTTTTCTTTCATATTCATTCTGTAATTTCTGTGCAAATCTCTTCATTCAAATAATATGGCTCACCTTTACAACTTCAACATTAGCTCGTTCCAAGACAACTATTAGCCTCTTTTCTTGTTCTATCTGATGCTTAATAACGGTGTGGGGAGCAGGCTTTTTCAAATACTGCTCCTCCTCTCGCTTTTCTTCTTCAGTCTTTTCATGCTTTCTCTTGCCCATTGTTGAAGATTTAAGAACTTTAAATTAGCAAAAAAATTAAGCTCGCAAATGCTTCATTCACCTTAATTGATTTGATCCGTTTCTAATACAATCGAATTTGAAGTTGTGCAAGACAGAGATGCGAGCGTCAATATGCTCTGACCTCTGTTTACGTTTGGTTTTGTTTAAGAACCAAACTCGGCAGACCATGATTCAGCAAGACGATTACTACACTCAGCTGTGTGTTACCGAGGCATGTCTTTTTAGCAAACTTGTGTAAATCAGGGAGCCGGTTTCTATATAAGCAATAATAACGATGTATTTCAATAACGCCCACTGTAAAAATTCTCTTTATGTAGCTTTTGGGTGCGATAATTCAATTGATTAAAAAAAAGATTGATATTGTGGCAGGGTGGCCCAGTGGTTAAGTTTAGATTACCAAGATTGGAGCATAGAGGTGCTGGTTCGATCTAAGCTCTGTGCGCCAGTTTCTGGTCAGAATCGGCAAGGAGGCCGGGCGGTTAAGCAAAGAAATTTTTGAAGCAGAGAGTTGTGAGTTCAAGCCCGCAACAAGCTGTGGATGTCCTGCAATGTTAAGAATCGGCGACAGGCCAACGGCGTAACAAACGCTGAAACCGCGAAGGCGCAGCCGTAGGCCACTAATTTTACTCTTAAATAAGCCCTGGAACCACCGCCTAGCTTCACCATACATTAACTTTCCTCAGCCTCGGAGCTAGAAGCCGCAGACTACGCTTGAACTCCGTAATCAAGACAAGCGACATCCTGCCGAAAGATAATAGCGCCGTAGGTCTTCAGCCAATGCTTAAGCATGCTCGCTCATAAGCAGGCAGTTCCCCATCCGGCTGTACCTACTCCGGCCTAACCTATTCACGCTGTCCTGGCTCACAACCTTCTTGCAGCCAATGACTGGCTCTACCAGCACACTTAGACCGCCTTTCTAACTTCTTGCAGCCAAGGAGGTTAGGTTAGGTCCGCTCAGTTTTGTTTTGGGTGGAGAAAGGTTGCAGCTCGTATAGGTTAGGCCTGAAGAGGTTTGGCCAGATGCAGTATGGCCATGTTTACCTTCGACAAGCTTATTTTGTGGCTGTGGACATCCGGCGCTATGGCTTTGAGCACTAGACTTCATAGGCCGTAATGCACTCTAGCGTTCATACCTCTGGAAAGAAATATGAACTAAGTGTGAAGTATGGCAAAGCTGGCCTCCGGCATGCGCCCCGAAACCGGTATATTATATTGTCCATGAGAAGGACAAGTTTATCAAACTTTCGCTGTTGCGATAATTTCTCGTTTTTCTTTTGTAAATTTGACGGATGTGAGTTGGATTAGTTGAAATCCTACAATTAGATTTGGTTTCAAAAAATTACCTGAAGAGTAATCAAAGGTTGTTCAATTCACGAAAATTTGATTGAGATATACTGATGAAAACTATCATATACAAGTAAATACTAAAAGTTATCTTAAGCTGAGAAAGGTGAAATAGATGTACACAAGTTGTAAAAAATTTAATTGAAAAATACTGCTGAAAAGAACGTACGATGTAATTGATAAAGAATTTAAATTAAACACTCACACAAGGACACACAAATGTTATAGATATTTTGCAATATATACATTTGGTGTTGAAAAGTTTAGTATTATAAATTCTGCATAAACTCGTGCGAAGTGAAATTTCATTAAAACTCGTATTTTAAAACTAAATATTTTTATAACACCAAATCTTTCTTCAAAACGAGGCATATATTTGAATTAATTATCAACAGCAATAATTAGAATACATTTGATGTATATTTAAGCGAAGAATAAGGCACTATAGTATTAAATGCTTTTAGGAATTTAATGGCATGCACCTTAGGGATGTTCTATAACAGAATAAAAAACGATTAAGGTGAATGAAGAATTAGCATTTAACCCTATATATTGCTAATTAACGATGCATGTTTATTATTATTGATCAGTTTAATACTCAAACATGTGATTTTCCATAAAATAAATTCCATTCAATGAAGTAAACATTCAAAATGCATACACACATCATAACATAATTGCTAACTGTACATTCAACATGCATGGTCACCACCTAAAATAATTGTTAATTGTACATTAAAAATACATACACTACTTAACATGATTGTTAATTGTACATTAAAAATGCATACACCACTTAACATGATTGTTAATTGTACATTCAAAATGTCTGCCCACAATATAACATCATTTCCTACTAATTTAACAATATAACAATTGAACATCGATCATATGATTCAATAAATTCCACCGCCCATTGTTTGATTAAAAAATTAACAATTGATTAATACTAATAATCAAAGTTAATTATGACCTAATCAACAACCATTTGTTGAATTTACAATTCTAGCGAAAATTACGCCACTACCTTACAGATACTATCAAAAAGAACATACAAATATATGTATAAAATATACAAACTTAAATATATGATTAAACTATGAAGAGCGTTTGCAAATAAGTAATATGTACAGTAGAAACGGCATGACACAGCACACCGTTTACTGGTAACAACATTACTATTAACATTACAAGGCTACCACCATGGTTGAACTATATAAGGTTGAACCATGGTTGAACTATATAAGGTTGAACCATGGTTGAACTACATAATGTTGACCCACGAGAAGTTCCGTCTTTCAGTTCAGCTTTCTTGTTATACGTCACTGAGATCGAGAAACGTAATACAACCATGGTTGAACCATGGCTGAACCATGATTGAACCTTAGTTGAACCATGTTTGAACTATATAAGGTCGACCCACGAAGATATCCATATTTCAGTTCAGCTTTTTTTGTTACGTCACTGAGATCGAGAAACGTAAACAATCCCGTCATTCCCATGACTGATTGGTTGATTGGTTTGATCGCATTTCGGTGATTGGTTAATACCCGCGACCTATACTTTTAAAAAAGTTAAGATATCGTAAATTCATCAGCCAATCATTTACGGCCTTTCAAGAAAAATCCACCAATCATAGACAAGAAAATAGAGCGTAAGTACTTACGTTCACATAGCGAGCTTTGAAAGTATCCACCAATCATAGACAAGAAAATAGAGCGTAAGTACTTACTTTGCCTTAGCGAGTTTTGAAAGTATGGCCCCGTGACGTCACTGAGATCAGTGACGTCACAGGCGAACAACAAACTATATCCGCATAAATGAGCTTCTCATGGGTCAAACTTATACTAGTTCAACCATTATACTAGTTCAAGCATGGTTATAATGGTTGCTGGTCCCAAGATAAGGCAACAATGGTATATTAGAACAGGTAACATTTCTTATATGCTTAATATGCCACATTATATCGATTAATTCTCAATTAATTATTAATGCCACGCATAAATGTACAAAGTTAGTCTATCAGCGCACGAATAATCATGCGTAATGCATGTTTTTAAAAGAAAATGAGTATAAAATATTCTAGGATGAGAATGCATTTTACATGTTTTTCAATGAATATGCGTAGATGTTTTAGAATGAACCTGTGCTTATCACAAGTATATATTTTTGTATGAATATGAGTTAAACATTATTTTGATTAAAAATTACCTTACCATGTTTGTGAATAAACATGTATTTGACATGTTTGTTAATAAACATGAGTTTCCCTGTATTTTAATTGAACATGTGTCTAACATGCTTGCGAACTAAAATGCATTTAACACGTTTTTCACTGTGTATGCATTTGACGCATTTTCAATTGAAACATGTTCAACATATTTTTAGATAAAGATGCATTTAACCTATTTTTAAGGGACTTGCATTTACCATTATTTTGATTAAACGTGCGTCTAACATGTTTTTGAACGGGAATGTATTTAACATATTCTTCAATAAACATGTGTTCTCTATTATTTTGATTAAACATGTGTCTAACATGCTTTTGAATGAACACGTACTAAACATGTTTTTGAACGGGAATGCTTTTAACATATTCTTCAATGAACTTGTGTCTACCATGTTTTTGTATGAACATTTTTTAAACATAGTTTTGAGTGAACATACGTAGAACATGTTTCTACAGGAACATACTAGCCCCTCCCAGAGATCAGATCACGAGCCTGACGCAGTCTTGGGCTTGCGGGGGACGGGGGCGGTGCGGCTCTCTTTCAAGCAGTCCCGTGAGTGCTTGATCCAATTGATGTACTGTAAAGAACATGTATTGTTATCATTGAACAGTAAAGAAAATGTATTGTTATTGTTGTACTGTAAAGAACATGGATTATTTATTGTTAAACAGTACAAAAATTAATCGTTTCGTTGTACTGCAAAGAACATGTATTGTTATCGTTGTACTGCAAAGAACATGTATTGTTATTGTTGTACTTCAAAGAACATGTATTGTTATTGTTGTACTGTAAAGAACATGTATTGTTATTGTTGTACTGCAAAGAACATGTATTGTTATTGTTGTACTGTAAAGAACATGTATTGTTATTGTTGTACTGTAAAGAACATGCATTGTTATTGTTGTACTGTAAAGAACATGTATTGTTAATGTTGTACTGTAAGTCTGTAAAGAACATGTATTGTTATTGTTGTACTGTAAAGAACATGTATTGTTATCGTTGTACTGTAAAGAACATGTATTGTTATTGTTGTCCTGTAAAGAACATGTATTGTCATAGTTGAACAGAGAAAAATCATTGATAACTATTGTTGAATTGTAAAGAACATGTATTGTTATCGTTGAACAACAAAGAACATGAATAATTATTGTTGAATTGTAAGGAACATGTATTGTTATCGTTGAACAGCAAAAACATGGATTATTTATTGTTGAATTGTAAAATCATGAATTTTTATCGTTGAACAGCAAGGAACATGGATTATTTATTTTTGAACTGGAAAGAACATGTACTGTTATCGTTGAACAGCGAGGAACACGGATAATTATTGTTGAATTATAAAGAACATGTATTTTGATCGTTGAACAGAGAAAAAGAATTGATAATTATTGTTGAACTGTAAAGAACATGTATTTTTATCGGTGAACAGAGAAAAATCATTGATAACTATCGTTGAACTGTAAAGAACATGTTTGTTATCGTTGAACAGAGAAAAATAATTAATAACTATTGTTGAATTGTAAAGAACATGTATTGTTATCGTTGTACTGTAAAGAACATGTTTGTTATTGTTGTACTGTAGAGAACATGTTTGTTATCGTTGAAAAGCAATTAAAATGGATAATTATTGCTTAATTGTAAAGAACATGTTTGTTATCGTTGAACAGAGAAAAATCATTGATAATTATTGTTGACCTGTAAAGAACATGTATTTTTTATCGTTGAACAGAGAAAAATCATTGACAATTATTGTTGAACGGTAAAGAACATGTATTGTTATCGTTGAACAGCAATTAACATGGATAATTATTGTTTAATTGTAAAGAACATGTTTGTTATCGTTGAACAGAGAAAAATCATTGGCAGTTATTGCTGAATGGTAAATAACATGTATTGTTATCGTTGAACAGCAAAAACAAGGATTATTTATTGTTGAATTGTAAAATCATGAATCTTTATCGTTGAACAGCAAGGAACATGGATTATTTATTGTTGAACAGTAAAGAACATGTATTGTTATCGTTGAACAGCAAAAAAACACAGATAATTCATTTTTGAACTGTAAAATAATAAATCATTATTTTTGAACTGTAAAGAACGTGTATTGCTATCGTTGAACAACAAAGAACATGAATAATTTATTTTTGAACTGTAAAATCATAAATCATTATTGCTGAACTGTAAAGAACATTTTATTACATGTAAAATCATGAATCTTTATTGCTGAATTATAAAATTGATCGTTTCGTTGTACTGTAAAGTACAAAAACATGGACAATTTATTTTTGAACTGTAAAATCATGAATCATTATTATTGAACTGTAAAAATTAATCGTTATTGTTGAACTGTAAATAACATTTTTTGTTATCGTTGAACAGAGAAAAAACATTGATAATTATTTTTGAACTGCAAAATCATGAAACTTTATTGTTGAACTGTAAAAAATTAATCGTTTCGTTGAACTGTAAAGAACATGGATAATTTATTGTTGAACAGTAAAACAGTTAATAGTTTCGTTGAACTGAAAAAAGGGATCGCTACACTGGTAGAGATATGCATGTTAGCTTAAAAACATAATAGTTATTTTATTGCGAAAAGAAAAGAAACATGAATCGTTATTGTCGAATTGTAAAAAGTCAAATGTTTTTTCAGTATACAACAGATCATGCAGCATGGTAGTAATGGATTATGTTACTGAAGTATTTAAGGACTAATTAACAGTTTGGTAGACTACAAACTATGCACCCAATCCCAGAATTTAACCCTCTACCGCCATATGTCATTCTTCGGGAACATAACTTTCAGCTCAAATTATACGTAAACTATTGAGTGTAGCAATCTGAGGACATTTGTACGCAACAGAGAACATTTTAAAGTTGTCGTACGTGGCGGCAACCATCAGTGCAAGTCATTTTGCGCTCACTAGAACGTATCCTTTTTGGGAAGTAGGCTTGTTCCTTATTGCTCCGGTTACTCATGTCAGGCGGTAGAGGGTTAAATCCTATAGAATATCTATATTTCTCACCCGGCAAGGTTCACAGTAGTAGGCCTTGGTAGACTACACTAACTAACTAGTTTGGTAGACTACAAACTATTGAAGTATTTAAGACTAACTAGTTTGGTAGACTACAGACTATGCACCCAATCTCAGAATTTAAATTCTACAGAATCATTTTGCTCACCCGGCAAGGTTCACTGCAGTATGCGGCCTTCTTGCACTGTGGACATTGTATCGTGGCCTGTTGGGGGCATTCCAGGCATCTTATAGTCTTTGATGCTCTTGCAGTCGGTTGAAAATGAGGATTATGATGATTAATCAAATGGTTGGTAGACAAATGATTCGAATTTGCGGTTGACGTGACAGGTGAACTTGCATACGGAGTTGAAGGTTTCGGCATTCTTGACGCGTTAGGAGGTACGGTAGGAGGCTGAGAATCTTTGACTTGCGGGTTCGACACCGGATTTGCCATTTCTGGATGTGGTCGAGAACCGAGAGACTGGTGAGCACTTAGGTATTGCTGGAATATTGCAGACGGCCATGGAATGTTTCCGGCCATTAGATTTTGGTTCTGTGAATGGCCGACGGGAGGTCGAAATTCCGGAAGCTCTGAGGACGAAATCCTGGCGTACGGAGAGTTGTACGCAGGGGCACGCGTCATAATGTCAGGTACTTCCGCCGAACCTGTGGAGACCTGAGATGGAGCCCCACTTCTACCGGTAGACTGATCGTAAGTCATGGGTGCGTTGTTCCGGCTAACTAGGTAGTGTATTCCTTGGTGCCACTGAATTTGACGACGGTCGCTTGTGTCGATTTCTTGAGTGTTGCATTCAGATAACGATCCTTGTCCGCGAACCTGCTCATGCGAAAACTGGGGAGAAGTAGTTGATTTTTGGCGTCTCTTGCCACGCTGCAAACTGGGATGACTTTTGAGTGAATTTTTGTCGTTAGGTCTCTGAAGATTATTGCTATCTTGATTAGATTCCATGGAGTGACTAGAACCAGGATTTTGAGTTGGCATTTGGTTCATATATCTTTTAGTCTGGAAATGACCACTAGGTGATCCATGTTCACCTAAGCAAGGATCATTTGGTGGTCCAATCCCCATCAATGAGGGGAAACCAGACTTTGGGTAGTAAGAGCTAACGGTATCTTGTGCGGAGCTGGTAGAAGTTGGTACGTTTCTACAGTCTTGGGGCAAGAAGTTATTTGAATTTTCTCTTGATTTCGAGGTTGCAAGATTGGATTGAAAATTTGAATGTTCCTGAGGGGCGCACTCCGAAATTACAGGACTCAGCTGACATGGTACGGCCATTGTGTTGAAACGTGACTTGAATGCGTGAGAAGAGTGGTCGACATTGGGCATGTTATACCCTGGGCTGTTGGGCGACCCTTGTGGAGAAGAGACGGCTGCGACATTAAAAGGTCGGGCAAACCCATGATGGGCGTAAGGATTAAAACCTTGAATACTCTGATAGTGAGGTGCTCCTGAAGAACTCAATGGAGTTGGAAAATTTGCTGGGACAAATCCCAGTGTTGAAAGGTGAGGATAGTTTTTGGGGTATGAAGGAGTAGGTTTCAGTGGATGAACGGCTTTAGGGTGGAGAGGCAATGGATGTTTTGGTATCAAAGGATGAGCAGATACGGGAGGATACGACTGCTGTTCTTCAAATGGTAGACTAGGACGAGTAGGTACCGCCATTATGGACGTTTGTAACTTGTCAGATGGTGTATCATAAGCTTTGACCGGAACCGACGAGCTTTCGACCAGTTGGGGCTGCAGCAAACGAGATTTTTTGGCGTTGTTAGGACGTTCTTCGCTTGGAGTTATAAGCGCTTCTTCTTTTTCCGTAGGAAATTTCCTTTTTTTCGACATTGGATTGAGAGAATAGTCCTTCACTTGCTCATTTTTCGATCCTGAATAATGCATCTGTTTTTGGTTAGGCAAGTTATTTGTGCCCAACATCTCATTAACATCACGAACAATTGGATCGGTGGAAGGTCGAGGAGTAATAGAGTACGTGAAGTCAGTCGTGGATTTGGGTTCTGAAGAAGGACGCCCATCTGAATTTTTAGCCTCCATTAACTGTAAATGAATAGGCGGGGAGCCTGAATACGTTAATTTGGCCGAAGTCCTTTTATCTGCAATTGTTCTTTGGGGTTGATTACCTGTAAGAGCTGAAATTGGTCGTACAGTTAGTTGAGAGCTCTTGGAAGTCTGGCCAGAGCTCTGGACGCTCTGAGGCGAACACTCCGCAACAGATGATGGATTGACTGCAGCAGGCTTAGGATTGACTAAAGAAATGGTAGCAGAGGTTGAGGGGATTCCATTCGACGCATCGAGACGTTTCGGAGCAGAATTTGAATCGAAGTCCCACGACCCTCGGGACCTTTTTTTGAAAGGAACTTTAAGGGTTTCAGAATCACTTGGAGGCTGGATCAAAGTTATAGAGGCAGGGGAAAATCGCTCATTTCTATTGAAATTGTTTCCATATTCTCCTTGAGACCGAGAATTTTCACTATTATTCACTGGTAAAATGATCAAATCTGGATTGAGTTGTCGGAAACTCATGATAGCCGATTTAGATTTTGGCCTTGGAATGTAGGGAATTTGTGGCTCGCTATTTTGCTCGTACCTCGTTTTCTTCGACTCACGTCCTCTCGATTCGTTATCCTCCGTGTCCGATTCTAAAGCAGCCTTGATCATTTCACTTACCATGTCGTATTTCCTTACACCGATGATATTTTTTGGCACAGTTTTATTCGTTATTGAGTTACTAAGATAAGTTTGATTGGTACTCTTATCTGAAGACATTCTTTGATTTTCAGTTACAGTGGCAGCTTCCGAAGAATTTTCTTCGTGGGGAAAATCCTGAAAATTTTTTACTTTCGGTTCACTGTTTACAGTTGCAGCAGGTCCAGCATCAGTGGTTTTGGGATCTCCTGGAGAGACTGCATCTTCTTTTTTATTTTCAGAGGACAGAGTAGAATTAAGACTAACTACCGAATTTGTATCTGAGATTAATGTCATTGAAGATTTGATTTCAGAGTTGACATTGGCAGAACTCTCTTGATCACTCGCGTTTTCTGAAGAATTTTCACACTTTTTACGGGTGGCTTCTGGCAGAGAGGGATGCGACTTTGTTGAGTTATTTTCTACTGAGAGTATTTTTTCCTTCATATCATTAACTACGTTTGAAGTGTCGGTACTTGATTTGGATTCTTCTTTTTTCAATTTTACGTTAAATTCCTCTGAAACAGACGATTTTACATCGTCCTGTGGTTCGACACGAGTTTCAACAAGCTTTTGGTCTTCAGTTGTTAACGTTTTGTTCGTTTTCTCAGATCCCATTTCAGGATCTTTGAGTTTCAAGACGAAGGGAGCATATGCAGAAAAAGACCCTAGCGTTTCTTGCAATATTTTATCTTGCCGCAGTTTTAATTCTTCAACTTCTCGGCGAGTTCTAACGAGCTCTTCTCTTAGAAGTTCAATTTCAGAAGTTTCACTGTGTCTTCTCTTACTACTTTCCGACACGGCATCTTTCTCCTTACCGCTATCATCATCGTTACTGCTCTCCTTTGATGGTTTTTCGTTAACAACATCAAAACGTAATTTGGTATCAGATCTTCCTTCAGTGGTTGAATTGAGGTGTGTTGCCGGAATTTCCGAACTTTTGGCGTCCGTGCATGGAGATACAGCTGAAGCTTTTTCTGCATTGACATCGCAAACCGCTAAAGGATTTTGAGCGATTTTCTCAAGCTGATCTCTACTAACGCTTCCAGTACCAGGAAGGGAAACAGCGACAATCGGGTTCTCTGCAGTCACACCATCACAGTCGTTGAATCTTGATGCAGTCAGGACTGAGTTCACATCTGCAACAGTTGTGTTTTCATTCGTTTCTGGGAAATTGGCAGCCGAGTCCACTCTGGATGAGATGGTTTCGGCAACAAAGGGCTCTGAATTAAATTTGGAGTGATATTTATTGCTGCAATTGTTGTCGGATGAAGTTGACGTTGTATTAATTCCACAAACAAAGTTTTCTTCATTCTTTTTAGATGAACCATCGCTATTATTTTGTTTTGAATCTTTCTCCAATGAGGTAGTTTCAACCATGGAGGTTGATAAACTAGGAGAAATTAACTTGTTTTCTGAAGACGATTCCCTAGTTCCGCTGTGCAATGTCGCATCACATGACTTTGAAAAATTGTCGCTAGACGATTTTGATCCACTTTCAGTGGTTACTGCGGAAGACGAGCCCATTGCACCGGCGCGAGAATAATCAAGGGGGACATCAGAAGATGCGGTTGAGTACACAGAAGGAATCTGTAATTTCTGAGAAGATATCGCAATACTTTCAGAAGAACCTGGAACATTTCTATAGGAGATTTGGGGGTTATCTGAAGACTCTGGCAAACTCCTTAGTGCCTCCGTCCGCTTGCCTGTCAACCCCAAAGAAGGCTCGTGAATACAGCCTGAACGTACGTCTGTATATGTCGCCGCCTCCGTTTCAGTACCTCCTACGGAGGATGAACAAGAAGAAGCACCAGCAACATCATGGCAGCCAAAATTCAAGTTGACAGAAGTTGACTCGTTTTCACGACGTTCCTTCCTCTGTTCGAGTTCGAAAGTTTTGGCGATTTGTTCTCTTATCTCTTTAATACGTTGCTGGATGAGCTGTCTCGTTTTGGCGCTGTTGCTGGGTGAGGAGTCTAAAGCGTTCGGTTTGCTGTTTAATTCGTAATTTAGTTTTTCTGTGGCAGTACTGAGGTTGCTAATTAATTGCAACAGATCTGGATCAAATTCCTTTTTGCCAGCTTCTTTGCTTCCCATCTGCAGGGTCAGTTCACTTCCATTATGATTATCGTGCTCCAGTAAGGGGGCTGTTTTGCCAAGCTTGTGTCGAAAAAGTTGCAACATTTTCATCAGGTGCGTGGCGTTGGCTTTCCTGACATTCGACTCTTGGGACTGGGTGAGAGACGGGGTTAGTGAGTTTTGGAAACTTGAGTTTGGTATAGCTTGGGAAGTGGGAGTAGTCGTGCTGAGGAGGTTGAGGGAGCTAGAGTTTGAGGGACTCAATGATGAGGCATTGGAGTGCACGTCAGTTGAACTGGATAGCGAAACGTCTGAAAATATAAAATGGATATAAGCAGTTCAGACTATTAAATAATTGTTACCAAAAATCTATCATGAATATTGGAATGAAATAGTTGCATGTATGCGTTTTATACAGGGTAAAAGTTATTATATATTAGTATTGAAAAGTTATTATATATTAGTATTATAAAATATTATTGTGTTATTATTGTAAATTATCTGTTATACTAAATTATTCATCTTTTGGTTTGAAGCACGACAAAAACAAATTAATCTTTGAAAAACATAAAGGCACTCGGTCAAAAACTTACAAAGGGAAAAAACAGCCTTTTCCTCCGAAAAATTAACAAGAAAGTTCAATTTTGCCCACCTTTCTGGACACTTTTAGAGTTGAGATCATCATCCCTGGGGACATCCGACAGCGGATTTCTGATCCAAGTGTCGTTATTGAAGACCAATGGCATTAAGTCGGGTACTCTTCTTCTCTCAGGGGAGGATTTAGTCGCCCCTAACGTCATTGGTCCTCCAGATGACGCTGGAACTTCAGAGGATGTTGATGGCGCCCTGGATATTGACGCCCTTGAAGGTGGAACGCCCGAAGATGTTGGTACATCCGATAATGTTGGCACCCTCGGGAGAGTCTGAATCACGGAGGGCTTTCGTGTTTCAACCGCGGACGGAATAGATACTGTAGGCGCGGTCTGTCCCATAAGATCCAAGGCATCATTTACCTGTACTTCTGCTGCGTGGGTTTTGGTATCACCAGCAATGTTATTCCTATATGACGAAACAACCTGATTAGTTGGGTTATTTTTATACGCCTCTGAGGAAGGATTTTTAGATTCAGAAAATTCATTTGGAACAGGTTCAATCAAATTGTTTTGTGAGACTGACACAGGTGAATTAGTCGATGGTCTTGCATAGCTTTCTGGACTCCGCGTACGCCTGTGTATGTCCAATGGATTTCGAGTTGAATTTTGATCCGAGTTTGTTACAGGGAACTCAATTTTTCGAGTGTCAGATTGAACAATTTCAGTTGGCGCTTTAAAAAGATTTGAGTTGTGCTGAAAACCGTATCCCTCTCTTGGCTGATGAACACCTGTAGCCGGTGTTTGAAGTGGAACTCTGTTAACACAATAGCTGTTGTCCGGTTTGGTCAGAGCAGAAGTAGCATGAAACTGAGTCATCGTTGAATTGGCAGGATTTTCCACTTGTTGATTTTCAGTAATTCGAGAAATTTGTTGGCCATGGCTTTCGATGAAAACCCCTGGGTTTGATTTACTATTGAGTTCTTCGATTGCAGCCCCACCGGCAACCGATTTTTGACTCTGCCGTACTTGGTCATTGTACATTGAAGCATATGCGGGATTTTTATATGAAGAGGCGTTCAGATCCCTATGTGGTAACCTAATGGAATAACCCATGGTCTGGGGGTATAAGCGATTCGTGTTGGGGGGAAAGGGACTTGCAAAGGGGTTGGATGGACCCGGGACCCTTCTGATGTAGGGGTTACCGAACTCTGCCGCTTTGCGAGCGAGGATCCGGTCTCTGAAATGGGTCGGGCGGCCCGGGGGGACCGCTGCCTGGACGTGGGGGGACCGAGTGAACCGCGGGGGGCTGTGAGCGTAAAAATGAACGTAATTAATATGATTCATATACAAGAAAAACAGAAACTGGGTTTAGAGTTGAATAATTTTAGAAAAAACTCATTGGTAATCTATTCATACGAGTTTATTTCAGAAATAATGAGAAACGATACTAGTTGCGAAAAGTTTTGCAATCCAGTATATACGAGTTTTCGGCCGAGCTACCATGCATGTACTGAAAGAAAAGTTTCTGATCGATGGACTGCTTTGGCATAAGCACTGCTTCAAGTTTCTGCCAATAGACCAACACCTGCATCATGTGTCATGATCGATTGCATGACTAATGATGTAGGTATGAATGCATGACCTAACTAATAATCCAGTCTAATTGAAGAGGTTAACGATAAACTAGTCTCTCTTGTTCCTGAAACAATGAGATGAATGATACATGAATGGTAGGTACATGACTTAAGGGCATGATAAGAGTGCAGTGGCAATCCATGTTAGCGTGTCTGAAATCATGTCATTCTACATAATAAATTACAGTTGATGATTAACATCATGGAAGATGGCCACATGATTGCTAGATGGCGGAGACATTAATGATGAAGACCGAAGTGCATGGAGATTGCTATTTTGAAAGGGTAATATCAACTGATTTGAATTTTTATTATAAATGGCATCTTGATGAGAAGTAAATTTTCATTTTATATTAGTTTTTGCATTTCGTCAATAAATTTGTGGTAAATAACAACGTCCACATCGAATGATATGATACACCCAAATGAAAAAAAAACGAAAAAAATAATTCGATTTTCACACAAAATTTAAATTGAATAATAGCCTGCGAAGAAAATTTAAAAAATGTGGTAAAAATATGTTAAATATGGTAAAGAACTTCATTTATGATTGTTATTACTTCAACTTCACGATTATGTCACTATTATTTGTTCTTGGAGTAGAAGCACACTATGATAATTATATTGAATTTTGTTCAAATTTGAACCTTTGCATTTTTTATCACAAAAAATTGTTTTCTTGTTATTTTGGGTTGAAAACTTGACTGTTCTAACTATAAAATACTTAAAATGAGTTAATTTCTAGTATTCAAGTTTCAACAATACCCTATATGCAGAAATTACAAAAAAATATTAAATGTGTGGTTCGGTAGGCACCAAATGCTAATTTTAAGCCAGGTTGAAAAAATTTTGAAGTTGAAAAAATGAAAAGTTAAAAACAGACCACGAACAATTATTTTGAAAAATTATCTAAAAATGGAAGATAAACTAAAGAACTTACTGTACAAAAAAATTAAATTTGTGGTTCGGCAGACAATAAACGCTAATTTTAAGCCAGATTGAAAAAGTTTTCGAAGTTGAAAAAAAGTGAACAGTTAAAAACAGACACAAAAAATTATTTTGAAAATTATCTAAAAATGGAAGATAAACTAAAAAACTTACTGGCTACCCTCTGATCCGTGAGGTCGGATGAACCTCACATCTGGATTTTGAGGAGGTGTTGGGGCCATGTGCGTTGAAACCCCTTGATGATGTAGTGGGCGAGTTGATGTGTTGAAACCGCTTGGTATAGTGAAGGACAAATCACTATCAAAAGGGTTTCGAACAATTAAAGATGGTGCTGTAGGAGGGTCTGGCTTCACGAGCGATGGTCTAACTTCCGTTGGGCAGACCATGGAGGCAGGTTTGCAGGTCTGATTAGGAACCGGTACTTGGTCTGGAGACACTATCACCGTATGTGTTGGGGCTTGACTAGTTACAATCATTTGACTAGGGGAAGAGAACGCGATAGATGAAGAGGTCTGACTAGTACTCATTTGACTAGGAGGAATGAACGCGATAGGTGCAGGGGTTTGACTAGTACTCATTTGACTTGGAGAAATGAACGCGATAGGTGCAGGGGTTTGACTAGTACTCATTTGACTTGGAGAAATGAACGCATTAGGTGCAGATGTTTGACTTGGCACATAGGTGTGACCAGTAGAAACTATCACAGGGGGTACATTCTTGATACCCATGTAAGCATCTTGGGTATTGTTCAGAGAGTATTGCAAATGTACAGGGGATATTGGAATGAGCTTATACGAAGTTGGGCTCACGGTCTCCTCAGTCATCGGTAAGGGTGGTTGGTGAATCCTGTTTAAATTTTGTCCTTCTGGAGTAGGACGAGAAGTCTGATGTAACGGCAGGCTTCCAGAGTTTTTGAAAGCGAATTCCGAAGCTTGGTTTGGTTTTAATGATCCATCTTGATTTCGAGCTTCAGTTAGGTGATCCTTAGACGACGAGGATGATGATGATGGTGATGAAGAATTGATCGTGGCAGATGCTATAACTCTATTAATAGATTCTGAAACTGCAAGCTTTCTGTTTTTGGAAAGAGATGACTTTGAGTGAGCTTTTCCCTTATTCATTTCTTTGTTGATGCCTGCAGTTCTCTGGCGGATCTTTTCTTCAAGCCAGTTAAATCCCGGCAGCTCTAAAGAAAGTCGTACGTTGCTCGACTGATCTGGCTCAGGTACCACAACTTCTGAGCGTTCATCAACATCTGTAGGAAAGTCGTGATATTTTAGTTTTTTTAAATGAAATCTTTTTAAGGCATTGTTTCCTGGCCCACGACTCCTGAGCGTTCATTGACGTCTGTAATGGATTCATAATATTTTAGCATTTTAAAAATATAACCATCTTAACACGTTGACTCCGAAGTGGTACATATGCGTACCACGAAATGTATTTCTCCAAGACGTTGTGGTACATAATTCAGGTTGCCTAAAATCGGGGAACAAAAAAAGCCAAAATAGGCCAAAAAGGCCGATAACTCAATATATACCGGTACTAGTTTATTTGTAGGTTCCGCTATGAAAATTCCATTTATTTTCTTTTTGTAGTATTTAAAATGTAATTAGGAAGTGCCCCTATCATAAATTTTAGCCGGCCAACGCAATTGAGAAAAAATAAATCACGGAATTTGTCCGGAAAAAATTACCGTCTGGCAACCCTGTTTAAAAACAGTACAAAAAATGAAATAATAGTACAAGACGAAGCAATCGGAGTCAAAGTGTTAAAGTATAGGCGCTTTGCAATTTTTTCCAGAAAGAGTGGAGAACGCAGAAAAGCCCCTCAAACTCAATAAAAATAAAAAATGAAAATAAAAAATAAAAAGCCCCTCAAACTCTCTCGGTTTTCGGGCCTTGTGGCAGTCCGCTGACCTTCTAACCCTCTTGCAATCGCACTTTTACTTGCCCTAAATGTGTTCACCCACGTAACAATCGATTTCCGATCAGGAACCCGACCTGAAAAACGAATACGGAACCGAGTACGGAATGCTCGTTGAGTAGCGATAATGGAACGGCCATTAGAAAAGGACGCCTCGACAGCAAACGCACGCTGCTCACTTGTCCAATGCATAGTGGAAACTGACTAGGCGGGATACAAAATTTCATGACCTTGCCTTTCATATGAATTACTCGCCGCTTTTTCCTACAACATTTGCCTGCGTAGAGCGAAACACAAAGCAGAAAGTTTCCGTGAAACATCGTGTTGCAAATTTGTAATTTTTTCTACTCATGTATAAACTTTTTAAATTATAAGATATGTCGCCGGATGATAATAACACAAAAATATATTTGCGGGTTAATTTTCAAATTTAATCTGAGGTTACTGAACGGTAAATACATGTTATACTGTATATGTATCAAATGAAATAGCAACATAGGACAATATGTGACAAATAAAAATTAACGATAAAATAGAATTTCTTACTAGCAATGCGGCATATTTTTAAATTGTTTGCATAGAGCTGATTAATGCATATTTAGAAAGACCTAAAGATGAGGCTATACAAATTTTCAACACAAAATAAAGTTTGCACAGGAATTAACATTCTAATTATTACTCTCAGAAGAATGGATGGATGGGTCATATATTAACCAATTAAAGACACATTTTCTTACTCACAGCATGAGCAGAGAACAGAGGTAGTATACCAGGCCAAACTGGGTCAGATTGACCCACACAAGGACGAAAGTAGATCATTACGTTTTATTTGGACCAAGTGTAAATTAAGTTACTTACCGTTTTGTTTTTCAGTAGATTTTTTGGGTCTGGTAGATTTAGCCTGCTTCTTTTTAATTTTTTTGCGCTTCATTTCGACGGAAGTCGATTCTTTGTTCGTTTCCTTATGTTTTTGTGGAGAATCGACTTCGGCTTCGATTGAATTCTGATCAGGATTCTCAGGGGGTTCTTGAGCAGCCATTGACCTCAGATCTTCAGTTGTAACAAAAAATCACCAATTATTAATTGAATTGAATTAGTATTGAGTTGGGATGGAAAATTATATTACTCGCATTGAACTCCATATTATTACTAAAGTATTGAACTATTCGCATTGGAAACCCGACGTTAAGGCAAAAGTTGTACACATTAAAGGTAATGCGAAAAAAATTTCAGCTAGTGCTTTTATCACGTGGAAAAATGGAAATATAATAATATATAACATAATATATATATATCCAGCAATAACCGCACAGAATTGTAACATTACCGGACATGGGTTAGAAACCCGGACCAAATCGCGTCCGGTTGTTTACTCTGCAATTAATTTGTACTTAATAACCGGACGCGAAAATAAATGAACTACATTACCGGACATCAAAAATAAAATAAAAACGCCAACCTTGTTAGGTTAGAGTTAGAATTAGGGTTAGGTGTGTCTAAAACGCTTTTTTAAGTTGCTAGAGACCGTTTTACTGGGGTTAGGTCCAGCCATGGTTAAGTTTTTTTTACCTTTTTTGCAATTTAGAAAAACAAATAATTAAAGTCCGGATAAGTGGACTTATATATATATTATATTATATTAGAAAATATATATTATATAATATTTAGGGCTTTAGATTTTTGAACAGTTGGCAAATTAAATAAAGGGAAAATGAATATCACACTATGGTAAAGTTTTAGAAAAAAGTATTGAATATTTTTTCAGACGCGTCCAAAGAGTACGCACTCGTCAGATTTCTTATCTGTTCTTTCGTACTTGAATTGTCAATTAATTTATGTATGTGACACAACTCATATAAAATTAAGCCACTTCCACTTATATTTATGAACTTATTAACAGATCTTCAATTCATATTTATAACCGTAAAGTATTTTAAATTCAATATGGTCTCAATTAGTGACAGGAAGTGTACTTAAGATATTAAAAGAAAACACTGCATACTTCGTATATACCTCAGTTAAGACTTCAATTAGTCTGCATGTAACACATCACCAATAAACGATTAGTGGGAATAAATTTGTAGGGTACAGAGTCATTTAGGAGCCCAATCCATATTGAATAAATAAAAGAAAAAACAATAGATATTCGTAAAAGAAAGGTCTCACCTGTTTCCTTTGCTTTCTCGTGACTTGAAGTGACATCTTGTTCGACTTCGGCAACTTTTGCTTTCGCAACCGCTGAGCCGGCATCTTCTATTTCCTTCTCCACGGGTGCAAAAATTTTAGTTCCACTGTTTTCAATATCATTCGTGGCAGCAGGAACAGGAGTAGTAGTTTCAGATGTTTTGTTTAGTTCGAAACCAATAGCACTAGTTTCATTTTGAGTAGTAGCTTTGATACACGTCGTAACCGCATCAGCGTTTTCAGTATCGGCAGCCATTGCGGATTTCTCATCATCACTATCAGAGTGAGGAAGCAGTGTGTGGTAAGATGATTCTGGTAGTGATTGCACAGGCGAAAACACAATTTTACATTTGTCGTCTTTAAAAGCGATCGGGCTGGAAGATTCTAAACGGTCCAGAATCTCCTCGATATTTTTTACAATCATGGGGGACAAACTCCCGTCACTCTTGCTCGAATTGGAAGTGTGAGACTCGTCTAAAACCCTGCGAGCAGGAGTGTTGAAACTTGATTGAAGAGGTGGACTACTTCCAAGTGAAGGGAAATCGGTGGCATATCCAGTATTCAAAGTCAAGCTGTTAGTAAAGGAATCGTCACTGTACGAATTACAGGCGTCGGTTTCAGTATCATCTTGCAGATCGTTCTCAGGGTTTGACGTAAGGTCCGCTTTTTGAGATTTACGCTGCATGGCTTCTGCTTCAAAGTTTTCTACCGCGTGGCTGATATCTTCTTTGAATTCGAGTTCGCTTCTATCGTCAGTGATGTCATTATGGCTGATAAAATCTTCATTTGCGACGGGTCGTTTTTGTTCACTTGTATTGCTCTCAATGTTCGAATTAGAGAGTATTATTGAATCCTCTAAATCCTCCTTTCTTCCTTGTGTTTCAAGCGAAGGATTGGCAGGATCAAGGATTTCGACGTCGGTAGTAGTTGTATTCAATCCATGACCATCATTATTCTGATCAAGAGGACTAAAATTATGCATAGTTGCTTCTTCCATTGTTTCCAAATAATTTTCCGGGTTCTGAGGAGATTTTTCATTACAAAACGACGTTTCTATTAAAAGACTTTCTTGGTGTGATTTTAAAGCTGCTTTTGCGGGTTCGGTGTCAACTGAATCATTGTAGAGTTCTTTCTGATCAAAATTGGCTTCAAATTCTTTAGGTTCGGTCACTAACGAATCATTTGGAGATTCTTCTTGATCCAAAATGACCTCATGCTTGCCTGATTCCGCCTCAATGAGCTCACTTTTCATTTCATTCTGTTCCAAAGAGGCATCAATAGAATCACTATCGATTTTTTCTGTACTCGCATCCTTCATGGCTGAGGTATCATCCTGATATTTCTTCTCATCCGAATGTAATGAGGCTTCGAACTTCATTGTGGCAAGATCATTTGAAGTTTTTTCGTGATGCAACAGAAAAGGATCAATCTTGGATTCAAGCTCATCTGAAAGTGAGTTTTCCTTGTATCCATCCGAAGTGTGATATTTTACCTTTTTGGACCTTGACGGGTTTTGTTTAAGTGCCTCGGTAACCATAGCTTCTTCCGTGTCAGTATCCGGAGACGAAAAAACCGAACGCGCCTCTTTCTGTAGTTTGTCTGTGCCATGGTTGTTATCTTTGCGGAGGCAGGTACGAAATGAATTTTTCCTCTTATCGGTTCGTACTTGAACGGGTTTCGAAATGTCTGGTAGTTCATAATCGTCACTCATTTCATCCGAGGAGTCGGTTGATGCAAAAAGTAATCTAAGTTTTGTTACTTCATCCATGGATTTTTCTTTGGCCATTCTCTTTAGTGGCATGCGATTCATAATGCGTTCTTTGCAAGTTTTTTCTATTCGGTACATAGCAGAGCTTTTCTTCTTGTTCTTCGTCTTGGTGGTTGAAATGGACTCAAGCTTTTGCTTTGTTCGGGAGGCCTTTTTCTTGAGTTCCTCTGAATAAGAATCGTGAGATGGCGACATAACAGAAAATTTCGAACTTTTTCCCGATGCCGACAGCATTTCCTTTCCCGAGAACGCTTTCTGAATTTCATTTTTGACCGAGTCACTAAAGTCGAACTTATTCCTGCAAGTGATAGTATCGTCCTGATCCCTCTTCTGCTGAACTATAAGCTTTATTGGTTCAGGATTAAGGGTTCGAGGAAGTTCAGAAGACTCGGCTTGAGATTCTGGGTATAACGCTTTTTCACTGTCCTTAGCTGTCAGCTTCGTCGCGTCATTCTCTTTACGTTGCTTCGAAACTCCTTTATTCAAAGCTTTCTGCTTCGACAACGGCCTCGGTTTCTTATATTCTGTGGAATTTTCAGCCTCTCTTTCGAAATTTTCTGGTCTTTTTACGAATATGGAGCTTGAATACGAGTTCCCTTCATTCTTAGTTAGTGACAAAATAATTTTCACATCTTTTCGTGGCAAAAAATCAATTTCTTTCTCGTGAACAGCCATCTCGCTGACGCTGTCTACTTCGATGTAACCGCGGGAGTGGAGAGCCCGGGAAGTTCCAGACTGCAAGGAATCTTCTAGACGCAGTAGCGGCACGAAAGCAACCGCGTCGCTTTTGGACCGCCGCGATTTTTGGTCACTCCTGAGGCAATATTTGCGGGGTTCTTTAACAGCACAGCGGACCTTGAAGCTCCCTGAGGTATCATCATTAGTGCTACCATCATCAGATTTATCAGAGAACTCGAATACATCTTCATTTTTTAAGCTGGCGGCTTGTCCACTACTTTTCGAATAGGATCTTTTCTTACGATGTTCTTCTTTTTTCATTTTGGGAACTGGTAATATATTTGCGAGTTGATGTTCATCGTCATCCGAATGAGTGTCATCACCCAGGTTAGGCAAGCAGGAGTAAAAACGTTTTTCTCGACGTGATCGTTTAGAAGAAGAAGCAGAAGAGTCTGATGAATGTTTGAATTTTACATCTTTATTTTTACCATCGCCGGACCGAGTCAAAGATTTTGAGGGATCTGGAGGCATTTCGTCATATTTTTTCTTGACCATCTTACCTCGGCTGCCGACTTTATCTTCTTTCATCTTTTCATTATTCCTTGAATCTATCCCTCGCAAGAAATGTTTGTTTTCTTCATTTCGTGTTCTTGAATTTCGTGAATGCCTGCTACCTTTTTCAAGAAGAAGATCATTTTCACCATCATCGTTCCTGGTCGAGCTTTTTTGCCGGCTTTTCCTATCATTCGTGGTCTTGCTACTCGAGGATGAGCGGTTCGATGACCGTTTAAAATGCCCGGCCCGTGATGAATCTCGGTCCGACTCACAACCACGCTTACCTACTCCACTTTTCGAGGTCTCGGCAGAATTTTTTAAACTTTCCGCAATGGGTGTGGTCTGATTCTCGTCCTCATCATAAGAAACAGATGGCAAAATCATTTTGATTTTACTGGGATTCTCTTCAACTTCTGAAGAATAAATTGTCACTTCACTTGAGTAGTCGAAAACCGGACTAAAATATGTCTCACTGTCTGCAAAGTTTGACTCCGGGTCTGAAAAAAATGAAACGTCGTTATTTGCACCATAGTTTTTGAAATTAACGCCGAGTAAATTTTCGTTTAATTTCTTCTGTAAACAGACTTCACTTGTATTTTTTTCTGCATTTCCATCTTTAGCAGAACCAGACGGTACCGCTAAACCTGTGACACTATCGTCCGTGGCAGGTATTCCGTCTGGCTGAGTGTCAATGTTGGTATCAACAGAGACTGGCTCTCCTCTTTCCTCAGATGGAAAATGCAAATTTTCAATCGTTGAACAATTTTGGCTTTCGTCAAAGTGGTCATCACAACCGGGTTCATCAATTTCTAGTGCTGAGCCCTGACAGGAAAGCTCAGTTATTGTAGGTTTCAATTGTGTTTCTGCAGTGACTTCACTTATATTATCCTGACTGTAAAAGTCCTCATTATCTATAGAAATACTTTCCTGGATGACGATATTTTGTTCGTTATCACTTTCCTGAAGGTCGAACCTTTCCACGATTTTACTTTCATTTTCTTCAATTCGGTTTTCATTTATGCCCAAACTTACGAAGGTCTCGGTTTCATCTTTTTCGTAATCACGACTAACCTCACAAGCATCAGGTTCAACCGACGGATGACCCAAATCAAATAATTTCTTCTGAATTTCTTCGCTTGTTCCTGCCACAGCCTTTTCAAGCTCCCTCCAACTTTTAGTGTCCGGAGAAGTTGAAGCTCCAGACGCCGGTTCACTGGCGTCCGTGTCAGAGGCGACCCAGTTTACGTTTTCTTCACAATGGAGTGCATCATGAATTTCTTCTAAATTTGAAGGACCGTCCACTGGCATTGCGATGAAAGGATTGTTTTCTGTTAGAAGCGCATTTGAAACATTGGTTCCTCTTATTGGTACTTCAGAGGAGTCTTCATAATTTGCGCTAGTAGACCCGTTAAACTTTTCGTCTATGTCCTTTCTTGCAATCAATAAGTCAGATGCATTATTCTCTAATTTGTTTCGGTTGTGAATTTCTGATTGATCGGAACCTACGCTATTATTACCAAGACATTCATTATAATCAGAATGATCAATCTTCTCGGAATTAAATGTCGTCGGGTCGACTATGGGGACGGCAGTAGAAGTTGCCTCTACAGGAATAACATCGTCCGACGGGCTTTCCGTATCACTCATTGCCTGATTTTCCTCTAGATTTGTTTCAGTCCGTAAGTTCGTTGATGGTTTGCATAGAGTTCGATTTGTATCTTGTCCGCCAACAGTATTAGGTTTCACTTGATTATTTAAACCAAACTCAGGTTCGACTTGAAGTGTCAAATCAAGCTTTCCATCGGAATTAAAAATTGTCTCTAGAACCGTAGTCTCCATCAAGCTTGGTTTCGTTGATTTTTCATTAACTTCAGGAGAGCTTTCCGCATTCAAGACATCCATTATGGAAGGAACTTCAGTGGACGTTTCTTTTTCAGGAGCACCACTAGGTGGAAGTTCAGTGGATGTTTCGTTTCCAAGAGCATCACTATTAGGAGGTTCAGTGGACGCTTCGTTTTCAAGAGCATCAATAGGTTCAGTGGACGCTTCGTTTTCAAGAGCATCAATAGGTTCAGTGGACGCTTCGTTTTCAAGAGCATCAATAGGTTCAGTGGATGTTTCGTTTTCAAAAGCATCACTCGGTGGGAGTTCAGGGGATTTTTCGTTTCCTAGAGCACAAATAGGTGGAAGTTCAGTGGACTTTTCGTTTTCTAGAGCATAAACGGATGGAAGTTCAGTGGGCGTTTCGTTTTCATTAGCATCACTAGGTGGAAGTTCAGCGCACGTTTCGTTTTCAAGAGCGTCAATAGAGGGATGTATAGTGGAAGTTAGCATCAGTAGGAGGAAGTTCAGCTGACGTTTCGTTTTCAAGAGCATCAATAGAGGGAAGTACAGTGGACGTTTCGTTTTCTTGAGCATCACGAGGCCGAAGTTCAGCCGACGTTTCATTTTTAAGAGCATCAATAGATGGAATTTCTGTGGATGTTTCGTTTTCAAGAGCATCAATAGAAGGAAGTTCAGTGGACGTTTCGTCTCCATCACTGTGCGGTAGTTCAGAGGTTGTTTCGTTTTCATGAGCATCACAAGGTCGAAGTTCAGCTGACGTTTTGTTTTCATGAGCATCAGTAGGTTCATTGGCCATTCCGTTTGGGCTAGCATCACTAGATAGAAGTGCAGCGGGAGTTTCGTTTTCAGGAACAGCAATAAGTGGAAGATTAGAAGACGTTTCGTTTTCATGAGCAAAACTAGGTGGAAGTTCAGGGGACGTTTCGTTTCCAAGAGCATCATTAGATAAAAGTTCAGTGGACGTTTCGTTTTCATGAGTATCAATAGGTTCAGTGGACGTTTCGTTTTCAAGAGCATCACTTGATGGAAGTTCAGTGGACGTTTCGTTCACATGAACATCACAAGGTTGAAGTTCAGTAGACGTTTCGTGTTCACAAGCATCGCTGGGTGGTAATTCAGAGGACGTTTCATTTTTACGAGCATCTTTAGGCCAAAGTTCATTTGACATTTCCTCATCGAGAATATCGCTGAGCGGAAGTTCAGCGGACGTTTCATTTTCATGTACATCAACAAGTGAGAGTTCAAGGGCCGCTTCGTTTTCATTTGCATCGCCGAGCGGAAGTTCAGTGAACGTTTCATTTTCATGACTCATTGAAGGACAGATGCTATTGCTTTCGATCGGTGGAGGCTGTTCCCTATTTGACGAGCTGCTTTTAGGTTTCACGTCAGATAGACCCGAATTTTTATGTCCTGAAGGAGGACTCCGACAGTTTTCACGAATTTTCTTCTCGAATCCAGAGCTCGCCGAATGGAGTCCAATTTTCTCCGAGAAATCATTCGTAGAAATTGGCAGCAAATTCCCATCAATAACAGATTTTTCCGTTTTATAATGGCTTGAATTCACCAAAGATGATGACTTTCTATTTTTGGCTTCAATTGGTTTGAATGTCGATTCTAGATCGAACTTTTCCTTCTCGTTATGTTGTACGCGTTGATCATTGTCACATTTCCGCGGCGAGCTTCCAGCTTCGTGTCCGCTTTTTGATGTGGGATCATTTTGATTTGCAAGGACTTGAGCAAACTCAGAGTTCGGCGATGAGGCATTTAGTTTCTGCTGAGAATCGACTTCATCGTTTGTACTCAATGGTGACGCAAGAATTTGGGGAACTTTTTGATTTACCTTTATCCTTTTTAGTCCATCAGGTAGGACACGGGATAAGAACTCGTCTTGTTCTTCAAGACTTCTTTTATCAATCATTTTATCATTCGCGGTTTCCTGGCTAGTAGAATCTGCTGACTCGTGACGATCCGATGAGTCAGTAATGATTGCTGATGAATCACCCTTATCAGCTGAGTCGCTCTTGACTTCGGAGCTCTCTGATCCTAAACCAAATTCTTTTGATTTGCAATCAGAGGAAGACGAAGCTAATGAACTATTAACAATCCCGGAAATGTTTCCTGATTCATCTGAATTGGTTTTAGAAAAATTAAAATCCATCACCCCATTGTTCTCGGATGTAAAGGATTGCGACGAGCCATATTGAGATTCTTTAGGTAGAAGATTCTGAGAAAATTCTTCGACAAGCGATGTAGGGTCTTCAGAAATCAATGTTGGTTTAATTTTGATCGGTTGAAAACTTTTGATGGAGAATTTCCCTTTCACAAAGCGGCAAGTGACGGTTCCACCGGCATTTAATTTTTCAGGAAACAGTGGCTGGAATTTTGAATTGTCACTCCGTTTCGTAGAAAAATTATTATCTTTTTTATCCCCAGTCTTGTGATTAGGTGTATTTGTTACAGGAAACAAGTTTTCATCTCCATTGTTATCACAAATGCTTTTAATTGGTTCTTGTTCACTTCGGAGCTTCTCTGTTTTTTCACTTTGAAATCTTTGTTCCTTTTCACTTTGTACTTTTAGTTCTTGCTCACTTCGAGCTTTTGGCTCCTTTCCACCTTGGAGTTCTGGGGAGTGTTTCGATTCATTTTTGACGACATCGTTATTTAATTCATTATTTTCGACCAGCACTGCATTTTCTATGTTCTTTATTGAATTTTGACAGTTCGCATTTGAATGAATTACTTTGTCCGACAAATTTTCTTCGGTCAACGACTTGACTGTAACTTTTTGGTGGATGATGTTAGATGTCCGAGAAACTGCTGGCTCTGATTCATGTCGCTTCTTGGCTGCAGTATCGGACAGCGGTTGTTCAGTTTCGACAGTGATAGTTTTGCTTACATTTGATTCGGAAGTCGTCTCAATTTTACATTGTCGTATTTTTGAAATATATTTATTAGAAATGCTCCTAAACTTGTTGGCAATGTTCGTATCATTTGAGGCTCTGTAGGTATCCACTTTGGAACAAATAATTAATTCGTCACAGCCGTCTTTCGTTGATTGAGTTAGTTGAGTTTTGGATTCAGATTCAATAATATTTTTCGTTGTAGCAATGGTTTTTTTAGCAGGATTCAAACTAGTTTTGTCTGGTATTTGGTTTGCTCCCGTTTCTTCTTCTGGACGGTTGTGGTCTTCTGTTAATTTTTCACGGAGCTTTATTTGACCCATTGAAATTTTATCGCTAATCTTACATTGTGGGTCATCTCTTTTTGGTTGCTTATGAATATTAAATTCCGATTGACGGCTATTAGAATCGACGTGTGGATTACAATGGCCAGCGAGTGATTTCTTATCCTGTTGAGTTGGTATACCTGAAGTATCCTCGTCGTCTGATATGGTGTATACTGGAGTCTCTAAGTTTCTTGAACTCTTCTCATTTTTTTGTGCATCCTCATCAGCAGTCGTTTTACTGCGGTCTACTTTTGGTGTGTAAATGATTATACTTTCTGCCATTTTGGGATCTTTCATTTTAGAATCTTTTTTCAGTCGTACATCAGCGTCAATTTTAGGCTGGATAGGACATACCGCAGGTTGGGTAGGTAGGTTCGTAGGTTCTCCAGAAAACTGAGTAGGTCTGACCGCGGATTGGGTAGGTTTAACTGATGGTGGGACAGGTTTTACACATGGTTGGATAGGCTTTACTGAAGGCTGGGTAGGTTTTACCGAGGGCTGGGTAGGTTTAACCGAAGGCTGGGTAGGTTTTACCGAGGGCTGGGTAGGTTTTACCGAGGGCTGGGTAGGTTTTGAAGATGGCTGGGTAGGTTTTGAAGATGGCTGGGTAGGTTTTGAAGATGGCTGGGTAAGTTTTGAAGATGGATGGGTAGGTTTTGAAGATGGCTGGGTAGGTTTTGAAGATGGCTGGGTAGATTTTGAAGATGGCTGGGTAGGTTTTGAAGATGGCTGGGTAGGTTTTAAAGACGGCTGGGTAGGTTTTGCCGAAGGCTGGGTAGGTTTTACCGAGGGCTGGGTAAGTTTTAAAGACGGCTGGGTAGGTTTTACCACAGGCTGGGTAGATTTAACCGAAGTCTGGGTAGGGTTTAACAAAGGTTGGGTAGGTTTTGCCGAAGATTGATTGACACAAGCAGGAGAAGAGCCTCTGTCTATGTTATTTTCATCAATTGACAATACTGGACGGTCACGATTAACATTTGGTAGAGAAGTTAGGTAGGAATTTGCGCTTTGGCTTGGAGACGAAGATGTTTCTGAAACTTGCTCTTTTGTTGACTTCAATACATTTGAATTAACATTTGAAGGCCTGGTGGTGCTTATCTCTCTTTGGGGTATGGATTCTCTAGAAGTTGAAAATACACTGTCAGCTTGATATGAAATTTGCTTCACATTGTGCGAATAATTGACTGTGGACAGCTTTTGGGTGCGAAATTGATTAGATGAAGTTGCCTTGAAGTTCTCAAGATTAGTATCTCGATTGCTCTCGGTTCCACTGTGGTTCCGGTCCTTCGAACTTTTTTGATCCCTAGAAGTTTGACAACTGGAAGAATTCCAAGAACTTCCATATCTATCTGTAAAGTTTGGATTTTTCGTATCGCCATCAAAACGATTGCGTAAATAATTTTTTGTTACAGCTTCTGAGCTGCCATGGCCCCGGGGTGATGGACGAGATGTTCGACGGTCGTCATCTACAAATGTCCTCCCTTGTATAGTCTCATGTTTACGGTACTTAGAATAGCCGTCATTTGAACGAGAAAAAATTATTGAACTCCCAGAATATCTTCGGTGTTCAAGATCTTTCCTTGAAGGTGACGGAGAACCCCGCACATTATGTCTTGGGCTCGTATCGCTTCGAGTTTGTGAAAGTTTTCGTTTTCCTTCGTATGCCTCTCGTCGTAATCCTGCAATCTCTGTCGACGACGAAGCTGTTGAATGTTTAGATTCTTTTTCTTCTGTAATAACAACAGGATTATTTCCAGGTAGGGATTTTTCCTCGGCAGCCTCGAGGCGCATCAGAAACTCCGCAACTAGCTGCTTACTTCTTGCTGTCCAGGCAGGATTTAGATAGTGGCTGTCTTTTGGGACATGGGATTTATCAAAGGATTGAATACCGGGGTCAGGTTTTATTCGGTGGTCTACAACACTTGTCGTCGAATGGTTTTTGGAGATTTTGCTTGACGGTTCTGGAGACTTTGAGGCAGCAAAATCAAAAATTATTTCCCCAGCACCGTTTTCTGTATATTTTTGAGAGGAGTTTCGTGAATTTTGGCTCTCTCTAGAGCTGCTTCTGGAGTTGCAGGTTTCAGAAGAAGAAATGGAGGGATGTTGAGATCGCGGCGGCTTGGGCTCGGCCGTGGCTTTTATAGGCTTAACTGAAGGAGAATCGTTTGCTCGGTTATATCGTTCATACAATGCGCTTTGATTTCTTCTCTTCATTTCGGCATTTTTCTTTCGTTCTTGATCTTGTCTGTCAAGGGCAAGTAAAATTTTTAACATTCTACTGGCTTTTGAAGAATCAACTGCAGTCTTGTGACTTGCCGTAGAATCAGGCGATGTAGCATCTTCAGTGTCTTTAGTCTCATGACTTCGATCGTCTTTTGATGGAATAGATAAGTCATGCTGATCGTCTATGGACTTTTTTTCCCTCAACTCATCACAGTTATGGATGCTAACAACTGTACGGTTCGGTTCGGGCACAATCACTGTCACTTTTGCCCGCTTTTCTGAGGAGCGTTTGTTTTCAAGCGGGCGAGAATTGGTTTTAGAAAAAGTTTTTGGTGATGTTCCATAATTTGAAGTACCTTGAAAATTTTCATTGATTTGTTGCACCGTTAATAATGGTTTTTGTGAACTCGAATTGGTTCCACTACTCCTTTCACCTTCCATTGAACTTGACTGATGCAAATGATGGCTTGAGTTTCGAACTTCTGACTTAGAAGTCCCAGAAGCATTTGAGTGTTGAATTAAAGTTGAATTTAGCTTTATTTTCAACGTCTTATCGTCATCTTCACAATGTGAAGACTTTCTCTGATTTCTCATGCTGCGTTCCATGTTCCCACTCATAATAATTGACTGGAAACTACTATTAATACTTGACTGAATATAACTCTTGACACTTGACTGGAAATGATTATTAATTCTTGACAGGCAACGACTCTTAATACTTGATTGAAAATGACTGTTTATACCTGACAGGGAATGAGAATCACATGGGCTGTCAAACTCCACTTCACTAGGGTACAAAAACCCCAAATTACAACTTTGTATATAAGCGTGCACTCTGTAATATATTGTAACATTAAAATTTATCATAATGACGAATCTTGAGCAAGAATGGGGAATGCATTTGCTATTGCTTACACACCATTACCCATTTTCTCGTGAATTTGATGTATGATATTCACCGCTGGCCTCTTTAAAAAAACCAACGTCAAGTCTAAACGTCGTTAATATAATCACTCTTGACGTGATTATAAATCCAATGAGTTTATATTTTAATATATTATTTTTTTTTCATGGGCGATTCCAAATTGTAGTAGCAGAGATGAATACCAGATTTTTGCACGTTCAAGATTTCGTTATCAAATTTTCATTGTTCATTTGATTGATTCGTTGAATCTACTTCACTAACTCACATTTCTTGAGCTTTAAAGAAGGAATGTTTCTGGTGGCATGTGGTGTGCGTTACTAGCGAATCTGAAACGAAAGAAAAATAGATATTGAATGGAAATATTGTAACAAAATAGTACTCTATTATTCTATCAATCAAAATAATCAGCATTAGAAATTATTAAATCGTAGCAATTACAAAAAAATATATTATACGATTAAATAAAGAGGTAGGAATAAAAAATATATAAAAACATTTACTCCAAATGAATAACGTGCATAATAACCAACACCAAAGAAAAATGGCAACCTAATCCTTGATTATACAGTTATTCCGAATCCCTTTATTCGGAATTACAAATACTTATTATTCACACAATACGTTTTCTTTGTCTCTGTCACAAGAGAGTTCCATATATTGCAATAATATAATTGAACAAACATTGGTTACTTTGTTTAGCAAGACTCCTATATATATATATAGCTCGTGTAACTACACGCTGACACTACACGCTGACGCAACACGCTGACACAACACGCTGACA